CTCAAGTGCCCTACTCTCCAGTGCCCTACTCTCCAGTGCCCTACTCACCAGTGCCCTACTCAACAGTGCCCCACTCAACAGTGCCCCACTCACCAGTGCCCTACTCAACAACAGTACCCTACTCTCCAGTGCCCTACTCACCAGTGCCCTTCTCAGCAACAGTACCCTACTCACCAGTGCCCATTAACAACAATGCCCTACTCTCCAGTGCCCTACTCACCAGTGTCCTACTCACCAGTGCCCTACTCACCAGTGCCCTACTCACCAGTGCCCTACTCACCAGTGTCCTACTCACCAGTGCCCTACTCACCAGTGCCCTACTCACCAGTGCCCTACTCACCAGTGTCCTACTCATCAGTGCCCTACTCACCAGTGCCCTACTCACCAGTGCCCTACTCAACAGTGCCCTACTCAACAGCACCCTACTCACCAGTGCCCTACTCACCAGTGCCCTACTCAACAGTGCCCTACTCAACAGCACCCTACTCACCAGTGCCCTACTCACCAGTACCCTACTCAATAGCACCCTACTCACCAGTGCCCTACTCAACAGTACCTTACTCACCAGTGTCCTACTCATCAATGCCCTACTCACCAGTGCCCTACTCACCAGTGCCCTACTCACCAGTGCCCTACTCAACAGTGCCCTACTCAACAGTGCCCTACTCAACAGCATCCTACTCACCAGTGCCCTACTCAACAGCACCCTACTCACAAGTGCCCTACTCACCAGTGCCCTACTCAACAGTGCCTTACTCACCAGTGCCCTACTCAACAGCACCCTACTCACAAGTGCCCTACTCACCAGTGCCCTACTCAACAGTGCCTTACTCACCAGTGCCCTACTCAACAGCACCCTACTTACAAGTGCCCTACTCACCAGTGCCCTACTCAACAGTACCTTACTCACCAGTGCCCTACTCAACAGCACCCTACTCACAAGTGCCCTACTCACCAGTGCCCTACTCAACAGTACCTTACTCACCAGTGCCCTACTCACCAGTACCCTACTCATCAGTGCCCTACTCAACAGCACCCTACTCACCAGTGCCCTACTCAACAGTGCCCTACTCAACAGTGCCCTACTCACCAGTGCCCAACTCAACAGTCCCTACTCAACTCTACTCACCAGTGCCTTACTCACCAGTCCCAACTCAACTGTACCCTACTCAACAGTGTCCTACTCACCAGTGCCCTACTCAACAGTGCCCTACTCAACAGTACCCTACTCATCAGTGCCCTACTCACCAGTCCCTACTCAACTGTACCCTACTCACCAGTGCCTTACTAAACAGTCCCAACTCAACTCTACCCTACTCACCAGTGCCCTACTCACCAGTGCCCTACTCAACAGTGCCCAACTCACCAGTGCCCTACTCAACAGCACCCTACTCACCAGTGCCCTACTCACCAGTACCCTACTCACCAGTACCCTACTCTCCAGTGCCCTACTCACCAGTGCCCTACTCAACAACAGTACCCTACTCACCAGTGCCCTACTCAACAACAATGCCCTACTCTTCAGTGCCCTACTCACCAGCACCCTACTTAACAGTGCCCTACTCAACAGTACCCTACTCAACAGTTCCCTACTCAACAGTGCCCTACTCAACAGTGCCCTACTCACCAGTACCCTACTCAACAGTGTCCTTCTCAACAGTGCCCTACTCACCAGCACCCTACTCAACAGTATCCTACTCACCAGCACCCTACTCAACAGTATCCTACTCACCAGCACCCTACTCAACAGTGTCCTACTCAACAGTGCCCTACTCACCAGCACCCTACTCAACAGTATCCTACTCACCAGCACCCTACTCAACAGTATCCTAATCATCAGTACCCTTCTTTATAGTGCCCTACACACCAGTACCCTACTCTACAGTGTCCTACTCAACAGTGCCCTTCTCACCAGCACCCTACTCAACAGTATCCTACTCACCAGCACCTTACTCAACAGTATCCTAATCATCAGTACCCTTCTTTATAGTGCCCTACACACCAGTACCCTACTCTACAGTGTCCTACTCAACAGTGCCCTTCTCACCAGCACCCTACTCAACAGTATCCTACTCACCAGCACCTTACTCAACAGTATCCTACTCACCAGTACCCTTCTTTGCAGTATCCTACTCACCAGCACCCTACTCAACAGTATCCTAATCATCAGTACCCTTCTTTATAGTGCCCTACACACCAGTACCCTACTCTACAGTGTCCTACTCAACAGTGCCCTTCTCACCAGCACCCTACTCAACAGTATCCTACTCACCAGCACCTTACTCAACAGTATCCTACTCACCAGTACCCTTCTTTGCAGTGCCCTACTCACCAGTACCCTACTCAACAGTGTCCTACTCAACAGTGCCCTACTCAACAGTGCCCTACTCAACAGTACCCAGTACCCTACTCAACAGTGCCCTTCTTTACATCTGTGTACCATGCCAAAGACATAAGATCTTGTAGTATAAGGACTTACCTACCTGTCTTGTAACCAGGAAAATATCTCTTTTATCAAAAACATCATTTTACAGTCTTGTGATTCGATTGAATATATCAACGACTTGCTTGTTTGAGGCCATGATTTTGAATGTAGATTTCTAAAAAATAATGCTGTCCAATATACAACGTCATCAAGTTGTGAGCACATGTTCTAATCTCCAGAAATGATGTCATGATGGAACAATGTTACATCGTGAAATATACCACTCTTTGTTCTACATTTCTTTGTGTTGTTGTGATTTATAGCATAGTTATCTTATAGTGTGGAATAGGTGCAGGATATTTATCATGATAGAATGGAGATAAAATACACAGGACAATCCAGGATGCTCGTGAGAGGCAAAGGAAATGAGAGTTAAATCACCCAAGGGTGAGGGTCACTATAACAAATATCACCATCAGGGTAGGTTAGTAACAACTGGACAATCAATAATCTTCATGGCTGGGAGGGTTCCACATGGACAAATATTTGCAGGAAGATTCCTCAAACAAAATGGCATTGCATGTTTTTTTTAGGGACATTTAGTCCACTCCATGTGTGTCCTTCAATATGTTTCTGTAAATAGTACACACACAAGAGATAGGATTTCCATGTTTTGTTTCACATACTAAACTAACGTTTGTGTATTGCTGTGATATTCTCTAATTATTAACTTGTGTGAGCTACTAGTTGGCTCATCTTACTGTGTTGTATTGAACTAACTGCATGCTAACGCTTTATGTTGATGTGTTTAACAATTGCACTTAGATAAATACAGAATTTTGTCTCATTCAGGGTCACATATCTGAGTTGATGTGGTGCTTCTTCCATACCTACTGAATAACAATTTTTCGCCAGCTTTGCATCTCGGAGGACAGGAACAGGTCTACACTCACTGCCTGGACCCACGTCACTACTCTCTGACCTGACCCAGCTGTACATCTGGGGTGACAGGGGCAGGTCTACATTCACTGCCTGGACCCACGTCACTACCCTCTGACCTGACCCAGCTGTACATCTGGGGGGACAGGAACAGGTCTACATTCACTGCCTGGACCCACGTCACTACTCTCTGACCTGACCCAGCTGTACATCTGGGGGGACAGGAACAGGTCTACATTCACTGCCTGGACCCACGTCACTACTCTCTGATCTGACCCAGCTGTACATCTGGGGTGACAGGGGCAGGTCTACATTCACTGCCTGGACCCACGTCACTACTCTCTGATCTGACCCAGCTGTACATCTCGGAGGACAGAAACAGGTCTACATTCACTGCTTGGACCCACGTCACTACCCTCTGACCTGACCCAGCTGTACATCTGGGGGGACAGGAACAGGTCTACATTCACTATCTGGTTCCACGTCACTACTCTCTGACCTGACCCAGCTGTACATCTGGGGGGACAGGTCTACCTTCACTGCCTGGACCCACGTCACTACTCTCTGACCTGACCCAGCTATACATCTGGGGTGACAGGAGCAGGTCTATATTCACTGCCTGGACCCACGCCACTTCTCTCTGATCTGACCCAGCTGTACATCTGGGGGGACAGGAACAGGTCTACATTCACTGCCTGGACCCAAGTCACTACTCTTATGACCTGACCCAGCTGTACATCTGGGGGGACAGGAACAGGTCTACATTCACTGCCTGGACCCAAGTCACTACTCTTATGACCTGACCCAGCTGTACATCTGGGGGGACAGGAGCAGGTCTACATTCACTGCCTGGACCCACGTCACTTCTCTCTGATCTGATCCAGCTGTACATCTGGGGGGACAGGAACAGGTCTACATTCACTGCCTTGACCCACATCACTTCTCTCTGATCTGACTCAGCTGTACATCTTGGGGGACAGGTCTACATTTACTGCCTGGACCCACATCACTTCTCTCTGATCTGACCCAGCTGTACATCTGGGGGGACAGTTCTACATTCACTGCCTAGACCCACGTCACTACTCTCTGATCTGACCCAGCTGTACATCTTGGGGGACAGGTCTACATTCACTGCCTAGACCCATGCCACTTCTCTCTGACCTGACCCAGCTGTACATCTGGGGGGGACAGGAACAGGTCTACATTCACTGCTTGGACCCACGTCACTACTCTCTGACCTGACCCAGCTGTACATCTGGGGGGACAGGAACAGGTTTACATTCACTGCCTGGACCCACATCACTTCTCTCTGACCTGACCCAGCTGTACATCTGGGGGGACAGGAACAGGTCTACATTCACTGTCTGGTTCCACGTCACTACTCTCTGACCTGACCCAGCTGTACATCTTGGGGGACAGAAACAGGTTTACATTCACTGCCTGGACCCACATCACTTCTCTCTGACCTGACCCAGCTGTACATCTGGGGGGACAGGAACAGGTCTACATTCACTGTCTGGTTCCACGTCACTTCTCTCTGACCTGACCCAGCTGTACATCTGGGGTGACAGGAACAGGTCTACATTCACTGCCTGGACCCATGTCACTTCTCTCTGATCTTACCCAGCTGTACATCTGGGGGGACAGGTCTATATTCACTGCCTAGACCCACGCCACTTCTCTCTGATCTGACCCAGCTGTACATCTGGGGGGACAGGAACAGGTCTACATTCACTGTCTGGTTCCACGTCACTACTCTCTGACCTGACCCAGCTGTACATCTGGGGTGACAGGAACAGGTCTACATTCACTGCCTGGACCCATGTCACTTCTCTCTGACCTGACCCAGCTGTACATCTGGGGGGACAGGAACAGGTCTACATTCACTGTCTGGTTCCACGTCACTTCTCTCTGACCTGACCCAGCTGTACATCTGGGGGGACAGGAACAGGTCTACATTCACTGCCTGGACCCACGTCACTACTCTCTGATCTGACCCAGTTTAAATGTGCTGTACACAAGTTAAATAAGCTCACTTGCATAATGATTCTTTTTGTGATCTAATATCCTGTTTACTTCTCTGTCTTCCATTGTCTGTAATTGTGTATTGTCATGTAAAACACCTTCTTCTCTGAAACTGCAAGATGAATTTAGCTAGCATTGCAAAGAGGACTCCAAACTTGGTTTGATTGGTTCCAATAAATTAGTATAGTTTTTGTCTAAAATTGCAAAATTTAGGACAGGAATGTTAGTTGCTGCCAAGGAAGCAGTAAGGATGGCTGGACATGATTTGTGACAAGTATCTGATATATACGTTACAACATCCAGAACAACCTAAATGCTGTGACTCTATTGGTGATTATGGGGAGGGAAATGTGAGCCTGTGATGTGCTTTAGTAGGTATTTAATTGGTTACAGTTTACAGGATTTCAAGTTGTCAATTCAGGTTTTAAGGGTGTTTTTCATTATTGATACATATGTTATCCTAATACTGCTTCAAATATGTGAAGTGGGGATACTCTTTCAAATAATTTTTTTTTTTAAATATTTGTCATGATTAGTGTTTGATGTCATTTATACATTATACAAGTAAAATCTTTATCATGTTTATCTGTCATTTCATAAGATGTGAAACACACTCATATTGAAATATTGATAAAAACAAAATGTTTACATGTCATAGCATAAAATGTCATGTTACAATATGGATCAAAATAACAACAAATATATTTTAATCAATTTATTTTTTATTCTGAAAGTATTGAAACATATCTTGATAACAATTATCATGCATTGTGTCAATGTTTAACTTTGAGTGAGTGGTAAGATACATGTGTTACCAAAGTCATCCGTGAATCTTCCTAACCAAGCCATTAGTTTCACTGATGTGTGTAATAGATTGCCATAAGTGTGTTTCCCTTTCATAGTTCTTGCTGTTGGATTAATTGTTTTCATATTTCAATAGAGTAAGAGAAATTTTGTTGTTGAAGTTATCAATAAAAGAATTCAGATATTTTAAAATGGCCATATGATGAATATATTCCAAGTTTTAATAAAATGAAAATCATTGGGAAGTAAATACAGCACCAGGTGAACAGACTTGTAATGAACATTTACAATCTTATTTATATGTTTTAAATCAGTGAATGCACTTTTCACTTCTTTGATTTATTATAACATTGGTATTTCCCATGAATAAGGGCTTAAGTTCATCTTTGTCGTACTGCTGTATATCTGTATTGCTAAAAAGTAAATACTGACCACCATATGTTATATGGACACTTCAGTTGCACCTTATTGGTGACAAGGAGTGTACAGATAGGTTAGCTGCAGCAGCATTGTTTTTTTAAACAAAACTTCTTGTTGTATAACAACAACATCCTCTTGATATCTCCAAACATGTTTTCAAAGATTGACTGACATTCAAATGATTTAGACCATTCAGAGGTTCTTTTGATTTCAACTCTTCAACTCTGTAGTAAGTTTGTTTACCCAGTTCAGTTACCATATCCAATACCTTCCTTCTCATAGTGATGCAACAACCTTTTTAAACCCCCTTAACAAATTGAAATATGAAGTCTTTGAATTTATTTTTATCTTTGAACACATGTAAGAAAAGGGCGGTGGGGTAGCCTAGTGGTTAAAACATTTGTTCGATTGCCCTAATGGGTACAATGTGTGAAGCCCATTTGTGGTGTCCCGTGCCGTGATATTGCGGAATATTGCTAAAAGCAACATAAAACCATTCTCACTCACTCACATGAAAGAAAAATTCTTTGGACAGTCAGTGCAATCATAATCATAACACAACAAGTAAAGTATACTTTGATCATCCACACAGACAAACATCATGAACTATGAAACTCTCCAGCTCATCTAGTAGCTGCACAAAATCATGGTATGATAGGGACAGTTGGGTATATCTGGACTTATTTTATGTTGGAATGGGCTGCAATGGGTAAGTCTGACTCTGATACATGTATATAATTTGTGTCTAACAGATCACCGGTCAGGACTAAAGGACTCCAAAACAACACTGACCGACGTAGGCACTGCTGCCGACACAAACATCACAGGTCAGCAGTATCTGAGTCGAGCATCCATGTTGTCGTCAACAGCAAACATCACAGCTCGTGGACAGTTGTTGCAGGCACGGGAGATATTGGAGCTCGGGCTGCATAATGTGTCATTTGCCAGACAAGCTGTTGTTCTCAATGATGGAAAATCTATCGCTGATGTCAGTTTTATAAAGGTTGGTATCGTCTGAAGTGTACATAACGGTATCATGACATATCAAGATTGGAGGGTGCAAGAGGTGTCACCTTGGGTATTATTTGCACACACTCTTTTTCAAAATCATGGATCGGCCTCTGCGATGTTATGTTGATTAAAAGTCATTAGTATGTATTGTTCTATATATACTGTTGTTGATCTTCAACCTTTGCCATTGTATTAGATACCAGTTCTTCCATTTGTACAGAATATCTAGAAAATTGATATTTATTGTGATAAATCAAGGACAGCTTGGCAAGAACCTCGTATTACGCAGTCCATGTTAATGTTGTAGGTTGGGATGCTTCGAGGGTTTTTGTCTGAATTTGACTGCTTCAGTTGTCTCGGAACCTTGTCTTCAGAAAAATGCAATTCTTTGACATCTCAGGGATATCATATCAGGCATGTTGCCTTTGTAGCCCTGTGGAATTTTATTCAGACATGAAAATCTTTGTTTATTTGTTAACTTGAGGTACGTCTTTTGTAGGTCTTTGAAACTTAGCACATATCATTGTTAGTGCAGGTCTGTGAGTGACCATTCAGTAAAAAAATACAGCAGTTGAAAGAAAGATAAAAAATGCACAACAATGGTTAAATGTTACAAATAAAGAATTAAGTGTTACAAATAAAGTATTAGGTGTTAGTAATAAAGTATTAAGTGTTACTAATAAAGTATTAAGTGTTACTAACAAAGGTCAAAATACGAAACACATAGAGGCCATATGAAAGAAAGAACAGGGTATTCTAAAGAATGTCAGTGCGCTAAAAAGGACACCGAAGCTAAAGAACACAACATTGACAATAAAGAACACCAGATTGCTGCAATTTGCACAACATCCCGACTTTAATGTAAATGATTAAAACATGCAATAAGCAAAACATCAGCAAGGGCATAACACATTACGTCAAATATTTATACAAAAATACATTATGCTTGTATTGTCACACCTCTGACATAGAGACACATACTGTATTATGCTTGAATTGTCACACATCTACTCCATAGACACATACAGTCTTACCCGGTATGCTTGTATTGTCACACCACTGACATATTGACACATACTTTATTATGCTTGAATTGTCACACATCTACTCCATAGACACATACAGTCTTACCCGGTATGCTTGTATTGTCACACCTCTGACATATAGACACATACTGTATTATTCTTGTATTGTCACACCACTGACATATAGCCCCATACTGTATTATTCTTGCATTGTCACAGCTCTACTCTATAGACACATACTGTATTATTCTTGTATTGTCACACCTCTACTCCATAGACACATACATTCTTACCCGGTATGCTTGTATTGTCACACCTCTACTCTATAGACACATGCTGTATTATTCTTGTATTGACACACCTCTACTCTATAGACACATACTGTATTATTCCTGTATTGTCACAACTCTACTCTATAGACACATACTGTATTATTCTTGTATTGTCACACCTCTACTCCATAGACACATACATTCTTACCCGGTATGCTTGTATTGTCACACCTCTACTCTATAGACACATGCTGTATTATTCTTGTATTGACACACCTCTACTCTATAGACACATACTGTATTATTCTTGTATTGTCACACCACTGACATATAGACCCATACTGTATTATTCTTGTATTGTCACAGCTCTACTCTATAGACACATTCTGTATTATTCTTGTATTGACACACCTCTACTCTATAGACACATACTGTATTATTCTTGTATTGTCACACCTCTATTCTATAGACACATACTGTTGTTTCTGTTTGTGGTAACTTGTGTTGTGTTTCCAGAGTGTGTTGAATGCCCCAGGATCTGTGGTGAGTGGAGGAAGGCGTGACACACACTGAGTGGTGTGACCTGCGTGTGTGACACTACAGATAGCTAGAATTTGATTTTATGCTCAGTGATTTTTAGAATAATGGCATTTCTTTTACAATTCTATCAGGTCACCTTTATTATTTTGGGCGTTGTAGTTGTAGACCTGTTGACTGGCAATTTCAGAAAATTATCATTTTTTTGTAGGTCTAGTTTAATGTTAATGTCAACAAATACATCTAAATGCACTGAGAATTGTACTCCAATTGCAGTTTGGACCAAATTAGAAACTCTGAACAAATTATTGAATATAATCATGAATTGATCATGAATTGATCATTCATTCAACTAAAAATATAAATATTGATGTATATCTTTTCCCTGGTTCATTATTTGAAAGGATAATATTATGTTTACATAATCTTTATTGATTAACTTTGATATTACAAACAAGCACAAACATCTACATGTTTCAATAGTTGGGGGAGGGTAAGGGTGTTGTTTTCCTCTCCTACATCTGTTTTCTTTGTAACAAACAGACTTATGCAGAAGCTAAAAGGTGATCTTACTGACAGCAATTATTCTTTAGTCTTGATTAGTTGCTTATGACAATTGTATCCTAATTGTATAGGCATTTAAAATCCTTTATTGGGAAATATTTTTCTGAAGCAGGTACAGTGCAAGATAAGGATATTTACAGTATATTAATTCCATCTTACAAATGACGTCATGTTTGCTTCTACAATAATGATATGAGGCACATTTGTGACAGGTGAGGTAGTGGTGATAATAGGGGGAGTGAGGGACAGCTGGTAGTATCAGTCTCAGCCAAGTAGCAAAATAGATATAGTACTTATATCACATATAATTCTTTATTTACTAGATAAATCCCACCAGAGTGAGTCATTTCATGAGTACATGTGGACCTGGTCATGTCATGCTAAGATGGGTCAATGTGCAAGGACAGTATCGAGATACTCATTAACATGTTTGAATGAAATTGTTTTGCACCCATGTCACTGACGTTTTTAAGCACAATTATTTTTGACAAAATAACTCAAACCACAGGCACATTTTTGTTTGGCACAGTTTAATCACATTTTTAATTCCAGAAAGTGTGTTTATATGTTGGTTAACAGGCACGAATAACTAGAATTTAATACCAGGGATGTTATTTGCTTTGTATGATTGTTGGTAAAGCTTTGTAGTATGTAGAGAAATATGACATGATAACAATGCTTGTAGATAGCCTTTTATCTAACTGGAGTTTTATTTATCAATACTGGTAAATATTATGAACCTTGGGTTAATCTTCCATATCTGTCATATAGATATGCGTTTGTATCACAAGTTAGACATTAAAGTACATGTACAAAGTTTGAATTGATCTGTCGGTACATTTAAAGAATTACAGACACAATTAACTTTCTCTTGGTGTCTATACCTTTCTCAACTCTCTTAATACCATGACCTTGACCTTCAGGATCTGAACCCTGAGGTATTTTCTGTGGAGTCAGTCAAGGAAGTGTCGGAACTGTCTGATGATAGTCATGTGAATGTAGAAGAACTGATTCCACCCAGTCACCGAGGTGCTGCAACAGCTGTCTGGAACACTGTCAAGGATCTCCATCTAGAACTGATCCTCATGTACCACAGAGTCTGTCTGAAGCTATCATCTCTTGGTACAGGTACGTCAATCCTTACAGTGTCTGTCTGAAGCTACCAATTCTTGGTCAAGGTGGGTCAAGAGTCTCCATCTAGAACTTATCCTCATGTATTACCATAGTGTCTGAGACCCGTGAAGATCCGGGGTAGAATAGGTTGACGTAAAGGGCGACTATGTTTGCCATAAGAGGCGACCAACGGGATCGGGTGGTCAGGCTCACTGTCTTGGATGAAGCATGTCATCGATCCCAATTGCGTGGATCGATGCTCATGATATCAATCACTGGATTGTCTGGTCCAGACTCAATTATTTACAGACCGCCGTCATATAGCTGGAACATTGCTGAGTGTGGCATTAAACAACAAACCAACCAACATAGTGTCTGAAGTCCAGGTGGGTCAAGAGTCTCTATCTCGATCTTATCCTTATGTATTACCATAGTGTCTGAAGCTACCAACTCTTGGTCCAGGTGAGTCAAGAGTCTCCATCTAGAACTTATCCTTATGAATTACCATAGTGTCTGAAGCTGTGTCTGAAGCTACCAACTCTTTGTCCAGGTGAGTCAAGAGTCTCCATCTAGAACTTATCCTTATGGATTACCATAGTGTCTGAAGCTGTGTCTGAAGCTACCAACTCTTGGTCCAGGTGAGTCAAGAGTCTCCATCTAGAACTTATCCTTATGTATTACCATAGTGTCTGAAGCTGTGTCTGAAGCTACCAACTCTTTGTCCAGGTGAGTCAAGAGTCTCCATCTAGAACTTATCCTTATGTATTACCATAGTGTCTGAAGCTACCAACTCTTGGTCCAGGTGAGTCAAGAGTCTCCATCTAGAACTTATCCTTATGTATTACCATAGTGTCTGAAGCTGTGTCTGAAGCTACCAACTCTTGGTCCAGGTGAGTCAAGAGTCTCCATCTAGAACTTATCCTTATGAATTACCATAGTGTCTGAAGCTGTGTCTGAAGCTACCAACTCTTTGTCCAGGTGAGTCAAGAGTCTCCATCTAGAACTTATCCTTATGGATTACCATAGTGTCTGAAGCTGTGTCTGAAGCTACCAACTCTTGGTCCAGGTGAGTCAAGAGTCTCCATCTAGAACTTATCCTTATGTATTACCATAGTGTCTGAAGCTGTGTCTGAAGCTACCAACTCTTGGTCCAGGTGAGTCAAGAGTCTCCATCTAGAACTTATCCTTATGTATTACCATAGTGTCTGAAGCTGTGTCTGAAGCTACCAACTCTTTGTCCAGGTGGGTCAAGAGTCTCCATCTAGAACTTATCCTTATGTATTACCATAGTGTCTGAAGCTGTGTCTGAAGCTACCAACTCTTGGTCCAGGTGAGTCAAGAGTCTCCATCTAGAACTTATCCTTATGTATTACACAGCTACCAAGAGCTAATCTGTGTGTAGCACAGCTTCAAGCATCTCTTGGCCTTCAATCTAAAGGTGATTCATATTAAGTCTGTGAAGGTAATATCTATCATGTTTATTGGTCAAACTGTATGTTTTGTTATGGTGTTCACGTGGATCAATCATATGTTTCAGATCCATCCCTCAAGGAGTCCAAGTCTTCCAAGAGGAGAACTGGTTCAGACTATGTAAGTGTGATATTCCTCCACTATCAGTAACACCATCTTTGTGCACTTATCTTTGATACTGATTTGTTCATGAATTAGGGCATGTGAGGACTCTAACCTGTCTTGCTGTAGGTGCACAGTGATGGCAGCATGTTGGACTCGTATGTTGAGAGTTTTGATGAGCTGTCCTCTCGCTGTAGCAAGAACAGTCTGTCCAAGGCTCTGCTGTACATGCAGCATGCTCAGATGTCCTGTAATGACGGCATTCCTTCACAACATGTCAAGAAGCTGTTTGAGGTAAGACAATCTTTTTGTTGGAAATTCAGATCTATATCTATTTAGATCTACATGGGCTACCATACTGAAAACAAATACATCAAAGGAAATTACGGTTATTGATATGCAATATATAGTCAAATGTCATGAAGAAAATAACTGTTATCATTTGGTATGAAAAGTGGAATATGAACTCAATGCAAGAAAAACATCAAATAACAACACAGACATATGATATGTAAGTCGCAATGCAAAAAATGCCATGGAACACAACAAATGCATCAAAGAATGTCAGTAGACACAAAAGGATACCAAACGCAAAAGGACAACATGTATTTGCAACTTGCAGATGCCATAGTAAAGGCTGTATGGTATCTTGTGGTAAAGGGACAACACACACAATTAGACAGCATGTCTGGTTAGGAGATGATCTTGGTTTAAACACTCATTCCTCCCTGTGGCCAGGAGTCCGTGTCACTCATCCAGCGCGCGGAGGCTGAGGAGAGGAGGCTGTACCTGGACAACAAGAGTCTATGTGAGATGTCACCTCGCACCACCAAGATTCCCCCACCCCCCATCCTCCTGTGTCGCACTGACAACTTCATGGTCTTCACACCAGCGCCGTTTGACCCTCACGGAGGAGAGAAGGTAGGAATAGCACTGTTAGAGTGAACATATATGTGTGTATATAATAGTGGAAGAAATCATTTGTTGCTATTCCTTAGAATATGAGGGGTTATCAAAAGGTTTGAGCCTTGCATTGTGTCAACCAGTCCTCTACAGCAGCAACCAATTATTGGACCTCATTAAAGTATCAGACCACGCAAGAGTTTTTACAGATTTGAAAACAGGTGGTAGTTACTAGGGGCCTGGTGAATAACATGGATGGTGTAGAAACTTGTCTCCACATTCCCATACAGCAGCCATTGCAACGCGACAAATCTCGCTCAAATCTGATGTTAGTGCTTCCTACTGCTACCTAAAGATCTGAGGACAGGTCATGTCAAAACAACCTTTTGACCGACCTATGAAATGACTAACAAGAAGTCGACATTAGCCAATTGGAAAACAACTTTCTAGAGCTTCATGGTACCAGTTTCAACCTGACAACTTTTATTCCAGCCTATGCTTTAAAAAAATACTGATTCTTGCCGTAAAAGGCGACTAAGGGGATTGGGTGGTCAGGCTTGCTGACTTGGTTGATGTATGTCATTGAATCCCAATGGCGTGGATCAATGCTCATGATGTCAATCACTGGATTATTTTGCTGAGTCTGGCATTAAACATCAAACAAACAATCAAAATTTGAATACTGAACCAAAGAAAATTTACCAATGTCTTACAGATGATCAAGATTGCATGACAGTACTTCCCACTGGCTATGGAAAGTCTCTTCCATTATCAATGTTTATCACTTTGAAGGGAGAGATAATAATAATGTGTATATCTATAATGTGTCAAATCCACTCTCTAAAGCATGCTCAAAGTGCTACATTGGATAGACGATGATTTTGACGGAATCAGTTTACAGCCCTGTCATTCGGATTAGTTGGTTTAGTGATAGTGAGAACTTTTATCTGATTTAAAGGAGATTGCAACATGACTGGTGTGGACTGAAGTATTGTCCTGATGAAGAACACCTGGTTGATGTTTGTTGCAATACTCATGCAATCTTTTCAACAAGTTGGCATAATACTCACCATTCGTAGTTGTTCTCTGTGGAAAATTATCACAAAAGTCCAGGATCCTTGTCAAATACCCCAGAAGAAGACCTCAAGGACCCAGAACCCCTTAATTCAGAACACTGGTATTACCAGGTACACATGACCCCAATGACCAACACCCAGAGCACAATGACCAACACCCACAGCACCAGAGCCTTTAGTTGTCCTCCAAACTGTTGATGGCAGCGTGTTCAATGAAATGTTCATCTTTTTAAAATTGTTTGTCTCCAATAGGTGGCATGGTACCGACTTTTTGGGCGATCAGCGAGTGGCAGCAATGTCAAGGTCAGGATCAATGACTACTTTCTAGATGGGACTGGAGAAGAGGTCAGTAAGATTTTCCTAAGTCTTATTTTCTGTGGTCAATATTTTTTTATGAATATGATGGTTCACATCTGTAATACAAAAATGTCTGTTGTTGATTTAGTTTTGTTTTCTGCAGGTGCCATCATTCCGATGTGAGCTGAAAGCAGCAGGACTGAAGCCCAATGAGCGCTATGTGTTTGCTGTTGGTGCGTACACGTGTGACGGCAAGCTGATCGGAGAAAGTGTAGGGGAGACCAGTAAACCCATCCTAGCATCCCATCCTCTCCCGGTCCTCATGACCTGGGCCTTCCTCACACAGGTACACAGAAATACTGCTCACGGAGTCCTTGACTTAAAGACATCAATGTAACCTCGTTACCCTCGAGGAACTCAATATAGTTAAAATGGTGTATTCTTATGGTCTTGCATATTTTGTTATTTTTGCTATGGTCTTATATGGATGTTCCACTTGTCAATGGATAACTGGATATATACTCAACAACAAAAGTTCCTGTGACACAAATATTTTAGTGTATTTTTCAAACAAGTGAAGTTTGGTTTTCAATATTGTAGTACATGTATGGAATCAAGTCACAAAAATGCAACTGCTACAGAAAAGCATGCATTCCATGCAAAAGTTGACTTTTATGCAAGCCACATGCATTTCACTACCCAAGAATGGGTATAAAAACATGTATGTTAACGTCGTCGCCTCAGATGTGCAGGGATTGTCGCCAGAAGACCCCCTAGACGTCCCATTTTGACAGGAAATCAGCGTCAAGCACGTCTACAGTGGTGCAGACAGCAGAGACAAGTTCTATTCACTGACGAGTCTCGTTTTCACCTCGGCCACAGCGATGGACGGATTCGAGTGTATCAACGTCGAGATGAACGTTACGTCAGTCATTGTGTCATGGAAGATGATTGGTTCGAGGGCGGCAGCGTTATGGTATGGGGTGGGATTACAGCAAGACAGAGGATCCGTTTGATAGTGGTAGAGGGAAATCTCAATGGACAGCGCCAGATCATCGAGATCATTGGCCCTGTTGTTCTACCGTTTTTGCGTTGTCATGGCCCAGGCATTACTTTTCAACATGACAACGCCCAGCCTCATATTGCTCGACCTGTTCAGGATTCTTTTCAACAAAACAACGTGAATGTCATCCCCTGGCCGGCTCGCTCCCCTGATCTCTCACCAGGGGTCCGGAAACCGTCATATGCGCCGGACATGTCCGATTTGGAATCTCAAATGTCCAGTTTAAAATATTGCTTACCGGACATTTTAAAAAGTATTGTCCGGACATTCTTAAATTTTGACCGGACATAATCAACAGTTAGGACTGAGCAGCTTCTGTCTGCAGTTGCAACACAATTAAGATTATCTACACCGACAAGCTTTGTTTGTTTTGATTGCTGTAAATACATCGTACCTACATGATAGTCCAATCGGTCAATCACTGTAATAGGCAATAAACTGAGTTGACACTGATTAATCGAGGATTATTTACTGAGACCATCTTGTTAATTTGCGTGAAAGGTGTTTACAACTGTACATAAATACTTTGCATCATTGATGTACATCATTATCCTCACAATGTTACGATACGTAACCTCAGACAAGAAGCGAAAGCGTGACGACAGCCAGTCGACCGATGCAATTCAGTCGAGCGGATCTGCCAAACCCTCAAAGTCTAGACGATCATTTGGCTAACGACTTTCACTTGGTTGACATACAATGAAGATTTGCAGATTTTATTGTTTTCAGTAGCTAGTCGTATATTGAATCTTGATTGACCGCCATTTTGCTTTCTCGGAAGATCGATATCAATTTTTTTTATAGTCAATAATTAAGTACAGATGAAAAAAGTATTCAAATAACTATTGCTCTCATCGATATTTTAGTATTTGTTATTAAATTATCTGTCTTGTTTAAAAAAAATATTTAGTTTAAAAAAAATCTTTTCCCGTGAGGTCACGTGATAACCAAATATGGGATTATAGTCTCGATCCAAATGTTACAACGTGTACACTTGAGCAGACTCATGAATATAACTCATGAATATTAATTAGACCGTTTACTACGTTAACAGATCGTTATTATAGCAGAAACAAACGTATGATTTCCATGTATATCTAAAATGATATTATTTGTTATTAATTGTCCGGTGAATTAAACAATTTAAATTGAAACAATTCATAATTCATCATATTATGAATACGTAAACTTGTAATGTGTGTCAAAAGTCGTACTAAAATACGCTATTTGAAGGGGGCGTGGCCTAGTTGCAAATGTCCGATTAGGATTTTAAATTTTCCGGACCCCTGTCTCTCACCAATCGAGCACATGTGGGATGAGCGCCTTCGACGTCAACCACGTGTTCCACAGACACTCCAGGAACTTCGAAGCATGCTCAAGCAGATATGGACAGATATCCCACAGGACTTTGCACGACGCCTGGTCCATTCCATGAGACTAAGATGTGTTGCTTGCATCGCAACCAGAGGTGGACACACACGCTATTGATTTGTAAATTGACATTTTGGCATGTTTATGTTTTTTATGAAATCACGCTTTTTCTGAAGTTAGTATGGCAAATTAAACCATTTGAACACTTACAGGAGTCTTTTATCTGTTGCAAACCGAAATTGTTTCAGATTTGGTAAAAAACATAACTTTGCATTAAATCTTAATCAATGTCACAGGAACTTTTGTTGTTCAGTATATTTCTTTGGGTGAACAAGGTTTCAATGTTTGTCTGATTGTAATCTATTAACTGGGTTTCAAATTTATCCATTTTCTTGGACATTAACTGATTGTCCTGAAGATATTTTCAAATTTAGTAATAATATGAAAGAATGATATCTCAAAAGTTGATACCATCATGACAATGTCTTTATGAAATTTGTGAGACACTAATGGCATTACCTACTGTAAAGCAAATGATTGACATGAAACATTACTGTTCCAAGGAATTAGCTATTTGTCCCCCTGCATCCTCCCAAGATGTATAGTGCAGGATGATATTTATGATGTTTGATTGTAACATTTAGGTCATTGTGTACCAGTAGGTGCTCCCTGAGTCAAAACACTGAAATGTTCTGCAACACTGTTGCTATATCCTGCTCAGATTGCCTATCAAGTTGGGGGGTACGACATCTCCCGACATGCCTGTGATGTACTATGGGATCACTTCCTGGCTGAGAAACCCCCACCACAGGGCACCACATACACCACTTCTGTTAACAAGGACTACAGACTCACACTGCTCAGGTAGGTGTCACACTGAGAACAAACAGCCATTGTGGTTCAGATCACCTCCTCAGACAGAAGCGTATCTTTTTTAGCTCACCTGGTCTGTACGTCAACAATTCTTTCAAACGACTTCTTCTTCTGAACCACTAATTGAAAGCATTCCCAGGTGGTGAGGATTCAAAATTGTACAAATGGTGGGGCTGACCCTCTAAGGGGCTGAGGGGCAGGGCCAAATAGGGGTAATTTGCAGACTCAGTTCAGACCCCGGGCCTGGTATCTCAATGTGATGTCATTGCAGAAGGCTCCTTTTGAACCCTTGCATTAGTGATCCTTTTACGCCCTCACAAAGAAAAAAGTCTTCCTGTTGCCCACCGCCTTATCGTCTGATAAAGAGGCATTAAGGAGTAATGCAGGATAAAATTGAGTAAAATCTAAATATTTTTTACATTTGTATACTTATCCTGCATTACTGCTGTGTGAGGGTACTGGTACACCATTGGTTGGAACATCTTCTTCTGCAGCTAGGCCTCTCACAGCTTGTCTTTCTGTCAAACAATAGCAGGAAATGTATTAAGGAGTAATGCAGGATAAGTATACAAATGTAAAAATTATCAAAATTTTACTAATATTTCATGTGATATATGACTGATATCTTGAACACAAAAGTTACATAACTGTAATAAGTCACCATTAGAATAGCCAGGGATCAGTTCCACAAAGCTATTGTAGCGCTAAGGTGATCACAACTCTAACACTTTAACATAGACTGTCGTTGCGCTTAGATCACTTTGTTGAACAGGGCCCATGAGACTAACAGAATAATTATAGACCAATTGTGCTCTTCCCTCAGATTAAACCAGCGTGCTGTTTGTTTGTCCTCGCCGGTGCTGCTGAGGCAGTTCCTCACAGCCATCTTCATCAGTGTGGACATCAGTGTGCGTAATGGGCAGCTGTTCTGTGATGGCCTGTGTGACAGAGGACCCCTCTATACTGGACAGGTAGGCCTGTGTGACAGAGGACCCCTCTATACTGATAGGTAGTTCTGTGTGACAGAGGACCCCTCTATACTGGACAGGTAGGTCTGTGTGACAGAGGACCCCTCTATACTGGACAGGTAGGCCTGTGTGACAGAGGACCCCTCTATACTGGACAGGTAGGCCTGTGTGACAGAGGACCCCTCTATACTGGACAGGTAGGTCTGTGTGCCAGAGGGCCCCTCTATACTGGACAGGTAGGTCTGTGTGACAGAGGACCCCTCTATACTGGACAGGTAGGCCTGTGTGACAGAGGACCCCTCTATACTGGACAGGTAGGTCTGTGTGCCAGAGGGCCCCTCTATACTGGACAGGTAGGTCTGTGTGCCAGAGGACCCCTCTATACTGGACAGGTAGTTCTGTGTGACAGAGGACCCCTCTATACTGGACAGGTAAGTCTGTGTGACAGAGGACCCCTCTATACTGGACAGGTAGGTCTGTGTGACAGAGGACCCCTCATTCATGGAGCAGTAAACAGTACTAAACACTCATTACATTACTTTTCATCATTTCTAAATTTATTGAATGTTTAACAACAAAAACCTATTACATGTAGTGATGTGTGTTTCAGATACGACGCCTTTCTGAGTGTGAGAAGATGTTGGTAGCGATAGAATTGGCCGGGTGGCTGAATGAAGCTAACCTGGCCCTCCAGGCAGTGGTGCAGTGCTATGGGCTCCTGGCTCCACTCCTCTTCTACAAGATACCCTCCTTGGCTGTCATACAAGTCAGTCAGCTGCCTTACATTCTCAGCTTCTGTAAATAATGGTGCATGAGTTTGGAAATATAAGAAAAAAACAATCAGATCTATAAGAATTATGATACATCACAATGTTTGAGTGAAAATTGTGGGAAAGATAATATTCATGGAAGATGTTGGATTTATCTTGGAGTGACCTCTATTGATGGTGTTACATGTTCCCACATACCACATAACAAAATTACTATTGTGTTACCGACAATGTTGTTGCCGAAATCCATGTGTGATTCCCCTTTGCAGGTTACCATGATAAGGATTTGGTGTAAAATCCAATTCACCACTCACTGAAAGTTGTTAGAGGACACGTAACTGTGGTTCTGTATCCTCCAAGTGAGGATGAATGACCTGTCTTGTCCAGATTTTAGCAATTTCAAGACCACCATTATATGGCTATATGATTGGTAGTGATGGCGTGAAACCCTCACTCACACACTCACTTCTCAACATCACCAGGTCCTGCAGAGATGCCATGCAGTGCTACAGGAAATCCCAGCTGGGCTCATACAGAAACGTCAGGGCAACATTGCAGACAGTCTCCATCACATGACTGCATGTATCACATTCCACATGGCAAAGGTAAATTATTGCATTGTCCTTCAAGAACTCATCTGGTTGCCATTTACAAACCATCAAATCATCAACCCATGTGATCTGCTTCTTGAAAATAAAATCATGCAAATAACATGATGTTTTCTTCAGGTTTTGCGCACATGGGGACAAAAGGCTCTTGCAAGTAGCATAAATGAAAGTGGGCGTCTGCTGTTGGCGACAGAGATGCCGGAGGAGAAGCCCTCCAAGGTCGATGGTGGAGATGCAGATAAGGGGGAGACTACAGGAGTAGCCACAGAGAACACAGACGTGGGATCCATCACGCTACAGGCCATGAAGAAGAAGCCCAAGAAACGCACTGGACAGAGCACATTCAACAAGGAGGAGACAGATGGACCAGTCAACGAGGAACTCAAGGCTCTCACAGCACACATACTCAGCCTTACAAAGGCCTGTAAGTCACAATTTTCCTTAGTGTAGATCAAGTTTGGGTCTTTGTGCAACCAGGTAAATTGTATTTAGTCTATGCATTTAGTTGAGTCATTAATGTAAATGTTTTCAAAGTTTTCATGTCAAGTAACATGTTTTTTGTACATAAGATATATTTTTATGATTTCAGCTCACAACGAACATGAGCTAACAGGCAATGAAGATCCGAGCATCCTCCATGCTTATATTGCCTACCTCCCCAGCAAGATGGCATACAGGGAGGGTATGTCTCTAAGTGGTTTAGTTTTGCACAGACATTGCAGACCTGCCTTGCACAAAGCATTCCTAGGATAACAGCAGGATAACTCTGTGAAATATCTGGATATATGTAACAAAATATTCCTTCTGAAAATTGATACATTGTATCTGCAATGCAGGGTTTGAAGATTGCATTATATTGATAACCTTTTATTAAGGATCATGTATAAAGGAGATGAAATAGTTTGTGATGCAGCTGTCATGTTGTTGTAGTGATGAAGTTCAAGCGCCGGGCACGCTACCTGGAGTTCCTCGTCCATGTTGCCCAGAAGGGCCTGACAGAGGGTCTGGCTGAGCAGGTGGTGGACTGGTGCGAGGACAGCATCAACTGGCTCTCCAAGTAGGTGGCACAATATACACCTGTACAAATAATTTGTTCATAGCTGATAAGATAAGAAAAGATGGGAGGCATTATTGTCACCAGTGGGCACGGAACCTTTTACAATATCTTTTGTACAACTATATAGATTGCAAGATAAACCAATAAGAATAAACATAGTAATGCAGGATAAGTATACAAATATTTAAAATATTTAGATTTTACTAATATTTAAGGAAAAGGATATCTAATATACCGTTTTGTAAATAAATAAATGATGTTTAGTAAATGTTTCATCTCCGGAATAAGTGCATGAATGTTTTCTGACATATGGATAAGTTACTAATTTTTATCTTATCCTGCATGACTACTTTAATGCTTGTACAGCTATATTTCTGACCTAGGTGACATCTGTGGAGAGGTCTGGCTACAGTAGTTGTTGTACCCACTAGTTGTGTGACTTACTTCCTCCCACAGCTACCACGTGACCGGACTATGTAGACATCTGAGAACTAAGCTCCCCGGCTTGAAGAACCAGATAGCATCCTCTGCCTATACTTTTGTTTATCCTTTGATAACCAATATATTCTCAATGATGTAGTTTATAGAGGGTGTACTAGGGTGGTCTTTTCAGGCTTATGTTAGCATAATTATTGCCAGACTTTGGCTCCCACGCTTGCTTTATGTGTGTTGTACCTTTCGCCATCTTGTTTTGCCACCTTGTCATATTAACATGTCTTGTGCTTTGATATTTCACTATGTCTATCTTATCTTTTGTTTCATGTGCTAAATACCTTTCTTTCTGCATGCACACACCTTTACACAACCTACGACTCCCTCTCGTCCATCTTTGGCTCATCTACACCTCGTTGGTCTCACACACATGAATCTATCTCTCCTGGGTCTTCCCGTACTTCCAGATCCTCTCACTAAAGACATCAGTCGCGTAGTCATTCCCCACTTCATCGATAATACAAATATCATTCAGATTCTTCGACCAGATCAGTCAGCATGTCCGTTAACAAACACTTAGCTTTAAGTGCTGGATTGGCTGGCGGACCGGTTGGCCTCAGTCGCTCCATCCCCGGGTCCCAATATTGCTATAAGGGAAACATTTTGGTCTTCCCCTACATCCATTCCACCAGATCCCATGCTCACAGATTCAATATTGGCATTGCATAATGACTTCTCCAAACTGTCCCTCACTCTTGCCTTTAAGGCGCCATATTACAGAAAGCTAGATTTTCCTGAGCACTCTGCATATGCCTGATACCCAGCTCGCTTTTGTTGAGACAGATAAATTCAAAGGTCACTAAAGCCCTTTTTGATCTTGGTCTCATCTGCCAGTGCCATTGATCAGGATCTTACCGAGGACAATCCTAATCAAGTCAATCATTTACGGAATGATGTCATTTTTCCCACTCCCAGTCACCCCAGTCGTAGACACACCAGTAGGTGGGAGATTGGGCAGGTTTGGGGCCAGTAGGACAAATCCATTTATCGCCAACATCCTTCGTCTGGGGTATTGGTTCTCACTCATAGCAGACTCACCGTTAACTTCTTACCCTGTGGTTATTTACCCGGATTACCAAGCCAATTACCACATACCTACACCTGGGGAATGTTCAGTTCGAGTGTTACATCGATGAACCATCAGGACACGGAAACCCTTCTACTTCACAGCGCGACTGGGATGGATCATCAACAAGCTCCAGTTTATAGGTGGTCTGTTTTGCACGGACCACGCTATCCTCCCCGTGCCAGACGACAGGTGGCACAAAATACAGCACCATCTGCTTCCTGCCCTTCACCAAGCTTGCACTCTGAGTCAGTGTCAGGAATTAATGGGCCTTCTCACTTCAGCTCAAGATCTGACAGCCAGACGCCGACTACAGCTACCTTCAATACAGCAGTTTCTGGCCTTCGTTTTTTCCTTGGCTGAAATCACAGACTTCCTCAGCACTCCCGACTCACCTCTGTCCATATCTTCATTGGAGAACAGTGAGATCGAATGTCTGCGACATCATCACCTTGACAGCGCATCACAACAGGGCTGGGGGGCACATCTTCAGGATCAGACGGTCAAACAATTTACTCTAATGGAACACGAAGAATCTAGAATTAGCTACAAGTTCTCATCCTGGCCGTGTCTCACTGGCAGTGCCAAATGCTAGTCACATTCACATTCACAGACATCACAGTCATCAGGGGAATCCTCACTCGTCATCCCTACTGTCCCAGACCTTTAGGCTCTTCCTGTCATCAAGCGCATCCCTGGTTATTGCAACATCCCGACGGACACACTCTCCAAAGTGGCTCCCACAGAGTGGATGCTGCACCCTGATGCCTTCACCCCGGTGTGCCAGCGATATGACCTGCCACTTTTCAACCTATTTGCCACTAGCCAGAATTATCAACTCCGGACCTGGTCTCCCTGGTCCCGAAGTGTTTCCTCCATCTGTACTACTTACCAGGGTCCTCAAAAGATAAAAACACACCAAATCTATCACTGCTTTTTATCGTGCATTGGTAGCCAGCTAGAAATTGATTCATGGCTCTTTGAAACCTCGCCAGTCAAGACCCTCTCAAACTTCCTGGGTAGACACACCTACTGGTACATCATCAGTCAGTTGCCACACCCAGCTCCAGACAAGTTTCGTCTGCATGCTTGGCACATAACCGCCGGGCCTTAAATGCTAAGTAGTGTAGAGTGCATGGTGCTGTCCATCTTGGGCTGTGCTGGGATTTCTTTGCTAAAAATCAACTCCGTGGACAGCCCGACAGATCATTCACCGTTCCTCCATTATCATCGATAGTGGGATCTGAACTACTTCTGTGCGCAGTTCTAGTTCTAGCATCGATCCAAGACACAAAGTGGTTCTTGGTAACATCTATTTATTCCAGTCTCGCCTCCAAGATGGAAGTTAGTCATAAAACTATTTTGCTATGGCTGTGTTCCACTGTACTGCAGGCGTATGAATTTGTAAGAATGGATTGTTTTTGGTTGTTTTTGGTGCTCGGATACTGTCTTCGCCAGTCATTATCTCCTAGACGTGGCTCTTGAGGATGTGCAAGGTGTTCATAGTTTCACTCTACTGGTGGTAGTGCAACAGGTCACTAAACCCAGATGATCTTGACTCTTACACTTCGGAACTGACCCTGCGACCTCTCTGGTAGTAATTACCCCAGACTATGGGGTTTCTGTTTTCCACTTATTCCAGCTGCGGGAATCAGAATTTAGAACTTGGCTGATGCAGGATAAGATAAAAAATTAAGTAAAATCTATTTTTTACATTTGGATACTTATCCTGCATTGATGCATCTAAAGTACACTCCCATTGCTTTGCTCCCTCCTCACGAAGTTCTTTCAGATGGTCTGTTACCAGCATTGATGTGATTGTGCATGACCTCGCCACATCCGGTCACGTGGTAGCTGTGGGAGGAAGTAAGTCACACAACTAGTGGGTACAACAACTACTGTAGCCAGATCTCTCACAGATGTCACCAAGTTTAGAAAACTAGCAGTAGAAGCATTAAGGTAGTAATGCAGGACAAGTATCTAAATGTAAAATATATTTAGATTTGACTATAAATACCTTGTTGTGACAGACGTAATGAACAGATCCTCGGCAACCGAATGTTTATGAGCAAACAGCCAGGAGTGATCACTATAGGTGGAGATGATCCCAAGAAGTTTGCTGCTGCCATGGTGGAGTACAGCAAGGACAAGGTAATGCAAATTGGAATATGTCTGCATAGGTGCTTTCGACATTGTGGAATTATTTGTTGAAATGCTGTCCTCTGCTCACATGTCTCATCCTCGGAGTTCCCCCGAGACAAAGTAGACCCAATTTATGATAATATCTTCTTTATTTTACTGTAAAATATAAAAGTTTTTGTCCATAAGTTGTCATCCATCAACTCCTAAGAAATGCCTGTGAAACAAGTCCCCGAGACAATTAAGAATTACCTCTCAAATGATGCTCTGGGTAAATAGGGACTGGAAGGAATGGTTGAATGTTGCCATGAGAAAACAAAGGGGGCCATGAAATGTTGGCTTGTGGAGTCTGATGGGCGAAACTGCATTACCAGTGGTTCATATTGGGAAAGGGAGGTCACTCAAACGGGAGCTATCTCCGCTGTTTTCGTATTTACGAGAAATGGCGTCAGTCACGCTGTACGTTGTTGTTGGTCTAGCTATTAAATGCTTGTTCCATAAAGGAATAACTCATGAATATTAATGCCCCCACGACCTAGTTTTGCGATGGTCGTAGAAGTGAGTTTTGATGTAATGTCTTCGCATTTGTACATTCTAATCCAATTATAAGTCATAATACTTATTTTAAATAGACAAAATAGCAGTTCGTAATGCGGGTTTGTTCACGTAGTACATATTCTCAACAACAAGTGCGTTTAGTTTCAAATAGGGGCCCACCTCAAACTTTTGATAAGGCAAACGGAGTTAGCTCCCTTTTCGAACCACAGTTAATGCGGTTTTGCCGTCTAATGCACATGATGGTATTGAGGCGTGCCTCCAGTGAGACACACTCTGACATATTGACAGGACACGACTCCGAGAGGCACTGTGAAGCAGCCAACAGCTCCAGGCAAGCCAGGAGGACGACCAAAGAAAAAGACAAAATATAAGGTAAATCACTATCAAGTAGACATTTATTCTAGTGATTGGCAATTTCTTTTATATTTCTAGCAAAACACTTACAGCAGATGACTTAAATCTTTCATATGGCAACTCATTATTTTATATCTTTGTATTAGACAGGTATGTTTTATGTTGTTGTTTTTACAAGGCTTAAGTACAGACTTGCATTATATAGTTGTAATCCTTCTGACTGCACTCACTGTGAATATCTGTCTGTCTGTCTCAGCCAATCGGCATCACCCCTCACATGACAGACGCAGCCCGCCATGCCCAGGAGGAGGCCGAGTTGAAGGTGAGTACACCATAGTACAGACATATGGGGAATAATAGTATGCTTAAGAGAAACACAAGGGGTGTATGTCTGCCATCTTCCCGAGGCAAGTGAGTTAACTGACTATAAAAGTCCAGTTTCCACCCTTGCCGAACTAGGCTGGTATTAGGGAGTTACATTTTGGCTGGACTAACAAGTCTATGCATAGTCCAATCAAAATCGCGCACCGAAATCGAAATCCGGTTCGTAAAGTGTCAAGCAGATTTCGGTTGACTGCAGGATTTGCAAAGCGTGTTCACCACTAAGTCATTGTCAACAGATATTTTCTAAATCTTTTCATGTTTTTAATCAAGGTGCTCACTTGATTTGATGCACTTCGCGTTGTAAGACTCGTTTTATCACAATATAGATCTTCATTATCGATCAGACCGTCTTGACTGGGCGCCACCGTTTTGTTTGAAGCAAATGCAAGTGATACGAGAGGTTGAATCTGATTGGTCAATAGGAGAGGCATAGAAAGGACATAACTCGTAATAGCCACTGGTGGCGCTACGATCGAGCCCATGAATTCCAGCCTAGTTCAGCAAGGGTCGAAACTGGACTTTTAAAGTCAGTTAACTCTCTTGCCTCGGGAAGATGATGCCTGCAGAATCACAACTGTTTCTTTACTTACACAATGACTCAAGCTGCCCTTATCTCCTTTAACTATTGTAATTAATCTTCATGTAAGAACATGAGTCTCTTGCTTCGCTGAGATGCATGCGTCCCTTTTTATATCCTGTTTTCAAGCCCCTAAGCAGTATTTCTCATTAAGTGTCTTGTAACAATCGCAGTACACTAAAATTAAGTCTTACCTTTGAGAAAATCTATTTCTGTTTACAACTGGATAGTCAAATGACCTCATCTTGTCAAATTAATTGTGATAATGCCTCACCAAGTGAGACATCGTGTTGCTGTCACATAATTTCGCACCTCTCTGTGACAGTCAAGTTAAAAATTGATGCACAACATGATCAGTCACATGACAATACAGACAGGAAGTTTACAAACAGCAGCCAATACACCATCAGTGTATTCAATCATTATGATGCAAAAATATCATCAGATCAAATTTGATTAAAATGTACATTAGTGAAAAAGGAAATTTTGAGGCATGTTTTCATTACTTATTGAACATCTTACCTCATGTGGCTTACTTTGTCACATGACTTCAGTGACACTTTGCTGTCTTCAGTGAGCTTTGAAGCATCTACTTCATTAAGCCCATGTGTAGCGTTTTAATAACATATAACCAGTCACTCGCTTTATCCATACGATGTCTCTAGATAAATGAGTGCGCACGTCTAACAGCGCCGGAAGTGTGTGTGTTTTGCGCTAGCAGACCACATGGCTGCCGACTGCACTTGACTGAGTGTATTGACATGTAATAAGAGAATACACCCTTTCCCCGGAAAGCCGAGTGTTTGTTGTAGCTTGCAAAGTCATCACATAAATTGGCGACGAGGTAAAACTGGATGTCTTAGTGTCTTTGTGGACATTTTGTGTGATTAACGTCTGTCGTGTTTCACTCGCTCCATAAACAACATGGCGTCAGCTACCTCCGGGAAGATCGACGAATTTAATCCAGAGACTGACAGCTGGGACATTTATTGTGAGAGGTTAGACTTGTACTTTACGGCTAGAGGTGTTGATGATAAGGATGATGAGATGAAACGGGCTATTCTGCTTAGTGAAATGGGTAAGACAGCCTACACACTTCTTCAGAATTTGTGTGCTCCTACGAAACCTAAGGAAATGGGGTTTGCTGAGATAGTGAAAGTCATGCGCGATCATCAACACCCAACACCGTCAGTGATAGTTGAAAGACTTAAATTTCACAAGACGGATAGAAAGTCTCAAGAGAGGGTTGAAGCGTATGCTTCAGAGTTGCGCCAATTGGCAAGTACATGTGACTTTGGTACTACTCTTGATGATTCACTTAGAGACAGACTAGTTTGTGGCATTAATAATGATGCAATACAGAGGAGATTATTAGCAGAGAAAGCTCTTGATTACAATAAGGCTTATACACTAGCACAGTCAATGGAATTGGCAGCAAAGAATGTAGAAGATATTAAAGTTGGTGCAGCAGCAGCTACAGGGGGTCACATGCACAAGATGTCATCATCTCAACATGCTCCTGTCTACCCGCCATGTGACAGATGTGGTTTACGAAATCACAAATCTCCCGACTGTCATTTTCGTACATCAAAGTGTTACAATTGTGGTAAGATTGGCCACATTGGGAAGGTATGTCGTCAGTCACAGAATAGTAAAGGTTCTCGTTGTGGACGTGTCTCGTATCGATCTAGAGGTCAAGGTCGAAGTCGGGGTCAGCACAAGCGTTCAGCGACAAATCAGGTCACTCCTGATAACAACGATGATGTTGAAAGTGAAGTATATGACATTTACAAGATGGAGACTTGCTCTACACCTTTTGTTGGGAGGAGAGAGAAGGAACCACCAATGTTTATTCATTTAGCACTTAATGTTCAGCCATTAAGCATGGAACTGGATACAGGTGCAACATTTTCAGTGATTAATGAGGACAATTACAGATCGTTAGGGAAAGATCCACCCAAACAAGGACCACCTCATACCTTGTTACGTACTTACCTAGGTGAGAAGATACCTCTGCTTGGTTCTTGCTCAGTGAAAAAGAACTACGGCAAACAGACAGCAGAACTGCCAGTGATTGTAGTGAAAGGGAGAAGAGCTAATCTCTTTGGTCGCGACTGGCTGCGACATGTTCGTCTAGACTGGGGAACAATCCTCAGAGTTGATTGTGATGATGTGCAAAGTACCCTTAACTCTCATTCCGATGTCTTCAAGGAGGAACTTGGTGAGTTGAAAGATACAAAAGTGAAGATTAACATATCTATTCCTTCACAACCACGCTTCTACAAGCATAAGAACATGGCCTATGCCTTGAGGGACAAGGTTGAGAATGAACTTGAACGATTAGAACAGCAGGGTGTCATAAAACCAGTGCAGTACTTAGAGTGGGCAGCACCCATCGTACCAGTGTTGAAGTCGTATCAGTCTTCAGTGCGCATATGTGGAGATTACAAACTAACAGTCAACCAGGTAGCTAAGCCAGATTGTTACCCAATACCCAGGATTGAGGACTTATTTGCATCACTCTCAGGTGGTCACAAGTTTACGAAATTTGACATGAGTAATGCCTACCAGCAGCCAGTGTTGGACGATGATTCCAAGAAACTCACCACAATTAACACCCATAAAGGTCTATACGAGTACCAACGATTACCTTTTGGGGTGTCGGCAGCTCCTGCCATCTTCCAGCGGACAATTGAATGTCTTCTCAGCGACTTGCCACATGTGTGCGTCTACCTCAATGATATTCTCGTCACGGGTGTTGATGATGCAGAACACAACAAGAATCTGAATGAAGTCCTTGACAGATTGCAGAAAGCAGGGTTGCGTCTAAACGCTTCAAAGTGTCACATCAAGAAAGACTCAGTCACTTACCTGGGACACCGGATTGACGCACAGGGACTGCATCCATTAGAGGAGAAGGTCAACGCTATTGTGTCCGCACCAGCTTCTCAGAATGTGACAGAGTTAAAGTCATTCCTTGGGATGGTACAGTACTATGAGAGATTCCTGCCAAATCTCTCCACGACGTTAGTGCCACTACATGGGTTACTACAAAAGGACGCTCCATGGTCATGGACCAAGAAGCATGATACAGTATTTCTAAAGCTGAAATCTCACTTGTCTTCATGTAAGGTCTTGACTCACTACAATCCAGACCTTCCTCTCAACTTAGCAGCTGATGCTTCTCCATATGGAGTAGGTGCTGTCCTGTCACACTTCATGCCAGATGGTACTGAGAAGCCTGTGGCGTTTGCGTCACGTTCCTTGTCACCTGCAGAAAAGAACTATTCACAGCTTGATAAAGAAGCACTGGCAATAGTGTTTGGCATAAAGAAATTCCACCAGTATTTGTTTGGACGGAAATTTCAGCTGTTATCAGATCACAAACCCCTCATGGGTCTACTTGATGCAGAGAAAGGCATTCCAGTGATGGCGTCAGCCAGACTACAGAGATGGGCCTTGATGCTGGCAGCGTATGATTACAGTATTGTGTATAAACCAGGTTCCAAGTTAGCAAATGCAGATTGTTTTAGCAGATTGCCGCTGCAAAACTCTGTGTCTGTGCCGCCTGTTCCAGGAGACACAATAATACTCCTCGAGAACATGGCAGAATTCCCAGTGAATGTGCGACAAATTCAGTTTTTTAAAAGGAAGGATCCCTTGTTAGCTAGAGTGAAGAAGTTAGTGGAATGTGGTTTTCCAGAAAACATGAAGCCAGATACAGAGCTAAAGCCATATATTCAGAAGAAAACTGAGCTAAGTGTTCAGGATGGTGTGATTCTGTGGGGTAACAGAGTAGTGGTTCCACCTCAGGGTAGGAAACAGTGTGTAATAAGAGAATACACCCTTTCCCCTGAAAGCCGAGTGTTTGTTGTAGCTGGCAAAGTCATCACACCATGTTTACATATTGTTTCTGGGCTCAAACAGAGGTGAGGCTCAAGAACATGTTACGTGGGGATATGTATAATCTGTTAATTGTTTGTATTTACTTGATGAAGGGGTATTGTTTTCTCTTAAAAAGAAATATGTACAAACAAAGACAGGCTAACAACAAAGTATATTGTCACATGATTTATGTTGACTTTGATCTCCATCTTCCTCACTAAAACACATTGCCTCTATTTCTTGATGCATACAAGAGTGAAACTGAGTTAATACTGGAAAATCTCCGAAATATTGAGAATGTAAGTTGAAAGCCTTTTGTACCACAACCACACATTGAACCACAAGCACTTGTAGCATGAAACTAAGCATCTTCCAGAGGCAAAGGAGTTACCTGACTACATAAACCTACTGGCTGTTTGTGTAACTCGATATGGACTTTTTGAAATTGTGGTAACACCTCGTAGGAGGTATTACAACGATTGTAACACCTTGCAGGATATATTACAACGATTGTAACACCTTGCAGGAGGTATTACAACGATTGTAACACCTCGCAGGAGGGCTTACAATGATTGTAACACCTCGCAAGAGGGCTTACAATCATTATAACTTCCGTTCAGATTGTAACATGTAATGAAATGTTAAATCAAATGACAAATGTTTTCTTTATATTCCCGAAGATTGAACTCGCAACCTTCATATCTGTAGCCCAGTGAGTGTGACACAAGGCTACAGAGGTGTTGATAAGCAGCACTGCTTTTTAGAATGTCCTTTTCAAGATCCGTACGCCTGCAACAGGCTGTACAACGAATGAGCGTCAGTCAAAGCAAAACGTGTAATAGTCTCAGCCTACGAGACGCACGTGCAGATTTCGCACCGTTGCGAAACCCATGTGCTGAGGTCACCGGTTTCATTGAACCGAGTTCACGACTTCATGATACAGGTTATACATTTGAGAGTTTTTATTACAGTTATTTCATTAAAAACGTTGTCTATGCGATGAGTCGGTTTATAAGTTGGACAAACCATGTCTCCTCGAGATTACTAGAGATTGTAAACCCTCACATTCGGGAACGTCCCTCATGTGAGGGTTTACAATATCTAGTAATTCCTCGGAGACATGGTTTCTCCTACACATAAAAGTTCACTTGCCAACCTTGCCGAACTAGCCTGGAATCATGGAGTTATATTTTGGCTGGACTAACGAGTCTATACATAGTCTAATCAAAATCGCGGAACAAAATTGACATTCCGTTCATGAACAATTTAACATGGCAACTGCTTTGTAGATTGCACGATTTGCAGAGCATGTGTACCATCATCTGTGCATTGACAGATGTTTTCCAAATCTTTTCATGTCTTTTAATCAAGGTGCTAAAGTGATTTGATGTAATTTGTAATTTGAGGTAAGACACATAATAACCTGTAATAGCCACTGGTGGCGCCACGATTGAACAACAAAATTGCAGCCAAGTTAGACAAGGGTGGAAACTGGACTTTTAGAGTCATTTAACACCCTTGCCTCAGGAAGATGGAAACTAAGCACTAACCCCAAACCATGTCTAATTAATAGCCCATCTGCATATACAGTTGGTGGGTGGAAAAGCATGGTTGAAGTGCATTAGCAAGGAGTAGGGTTATATATATTAGGAGTTGTTAAAGACTGTAGAGATTCGCTGGAGATGCATGGAGCAACAAGCCACTGTTTGTCATCACCTGTAGTGTATAATTGCTTCCAACAGGGAGGAGTAGTAGAGTAGTCACTTCGTTGTAGGATGAGTGAGTGAGTATGGTTTTATGCCGCTTCCCATCACTATCACGACGGGGGATACCAGAAATGGGCTTCACGCATTGTACCCATGTGGGGAATCGAACTCGGGTCTTCGGTATGATGAATGAATGCTTTGACTACTAGGCTACCCCACAGCCCAGTTGTAGGATGAAGACACAGGTTAACTTTCCCACATACGCACCGTGTATGAAGCCCAATCTGTTGTCTCCTGGAATATTGCTAAAACAGTTTAAAACCATCTTCACTCACTCACACACAATAAGGAAATAGGACTGCAGTTTGAGATCAATGCTTGTCAATGCACACATCTGCACAAAGGTTTGACCTGGGCAATTCTTGCAAAATGATGGTAGATGTTCCAGTAATGTTGTTGTGTTCATAAGCCTCAGTGTTACGTAGTGTCTCTGCAGTGTCATTGAGCTGGTGTTGTGTCTCTGCCAGGCCCTGGAGAAGCTGAGTCTGTACCTGCCTGATGCTTACCGCACTGCTAACCGGCGGCGGAGGATGAGGAAGATCAGCACAGATGAACTGCCGTGGAGGACCCAGGTACTGGACCAGGCTATGATTACAACTTTTTGACAGTGCTTTTCTAACCTTGGCTTTGCACAACTCAACATGAATAGTGTCCTCCGTTGATTCCTTGATGTCATCAAATGTTTAAGTGACACATATTTCAGATATCATTTTTGGTTTTGAACAATGTGAATGCAAAGATATCCTGCTTGACTCAAAGTAAAAGCTTGGTTTTGTCAACCTCTGATAACTTGAAGTATTTACGTAGGTCCCTTCAACACATCAGTGTTTGACTATATACCTAACAATCCCTCATTTATAATTATCATTTATGGAATGTGTAAGTTATGTTACTTGCCTGTGTTGCAGCTGAGCATTGTGCAGGGACTGAGTCACTTCGGGGCATTCCTACAGAAGCTGGAGAAGAGGGAGAAAGTCCTTGGCTCCACCAGCAGCAGCATGTACAAGTAAGATGGCTTCCCTGTCCTGCTTATTGTGCCACAAACCGCTTCAATGCCTAGCCTTGGCTGCAATACAGTAATAAGTTATTCAAGCTCCTTATTGAACTAAAAATGAATGTCTGAAAACTAGTAATTGGGAAAACTTTAAAAACAAACCTTTGTATGTATACATCATGTTGGTATGGCTGTCTCCAGGACATCCTTCTTGGACCAAGAATGGTTCACATTTGAGACAGCAGGAACCCTGGTTGTGGGTTGGGAGGGTGGCCCAGCCCGACAAACATCTGCTGTTGGACTCGCAGCCTCACCACGCAAGATTGATGAACCTGTGTCTGCGTTAAATGCCCTTGACCTTGCTGTGGATCAGGACAGACCGAAAACTACAGGCATCGAGTTTGCTGCTGCTGCTGCTACTGGTCTGTATTTACTGCTGACTTTGATACATCAACTGGTATATTTTGACATGGATTCCAACTGGTTTCATTTTTTTATGATGTGCTTGATAAGTACTAAGTTGTGTTGGAGACAGCACTGCTTTCAGTCCTGGGGAGGATGCAGCACACCGTATCATCTCTTGCAGTTGTTTTAGATGTGGCAAAAACAATTTTCCATATAAATTTGATTTTAACATCAATGAGATACTGGTAGTGTATTCTTTTCAACTATTCCCCTGGAATGAATCAAATAAGGGTCACCACAGTTCAGGGAGGCAGATGTGAATCAGATTATACATATGTAAGGGTCATTAGTAACTGAAGAGTCTTTTTGCTGATATCACAAATTGTATGTTTATGCTTTGTACTAATCAGTACTTATTGTAGTCAGAATGTTTTGATGGCAAATATGATATATAGTGTTGAGGAGTATATGGGATTATCAAGTGCTAATCAATGTATGAAAGAAATGAAATCATTAATTCCTCATGTTGGTTTTCCTAGGTGCCCCACCACCTCCGTTGTACACCATCCCACCAGAGGCAGAGGACACACCCAGGACGTACCGGTCAGAGCAGGTGTCGTCCAGATATGAACACAAACACCACATTGACCCTGACACATCGCCCTTGTCTACACGGGCAACAGTAGAAGCCCTCAACAAGACATTCACATATTTCAAACATGCAGTGGTAAGTAATTGTCACCGTGTAGATCCTGTGTGTAATGATTTTATTGCATGCTGTTTTAAGCTCATCTGTACATAGTTCCAAGACAGTTACTTGGAGCCTCATGAATCATGGCACCCTACATGTAAACAATGTCAACCAGCTTTATGATGATTATCTTAATCAGGACTGACCCAAACATTGTCCAGATGACCCTGATGGTTGTCCCTGTTTCAGACTCTCGCCCACAGAGGGCAGCACTGGACACTGTTGCAGAACGCTGCACGTGCTCTGTGGAACTGTGCCCATACTGCCTTGCTGCGTGCCTTCACTGCCAACCAGGGAGGTCAGGATGCAGGCCTACTCACCATTGATGTCCTGCGCTCTCTAGTGTGGTCACCACTCCACATGGCTGCAGAGTGTCTGCTGGACATGATGGTGCATCTGCAGGTGGACCTTGACCACCAGTCATTCAAGGTAGGAAAGGAATTCTTTACTGAGTTATGAAGAAACATTAAAGGGAAACAACACTCCAACTCTCAGTCAGCTAGCCGGCACCGCTTTATTTAGCCCGTGTAATCACCAGATGACAATTAGTATCAGCAACCCAAACAACTGGGCTTCGGACCACCTCATTGACGGGAGGGTGAATCACCTTGAATCTTTACATTTGATTGGATGATGCTATAACCTTTCACCTTGCAAAACCTGTTAGCGTGTGTAAATGTGTATGTACATTGATGTAGTTTGGTAAACAGGAAATATGTGTAAGTACAAGTTTAGAAACAATGAAGTTAAGTTCATATACTCCATACAGCAACGATCCTTATTTTTCAGGCAAATTGCATATAATACAACAATTACTACTCACTTTTTTGTCATCCATGCTTAATGGTAATACCCTACATCTGTGTATTTGTTGTCATTAACTTGATGCTCAGTCAATGACTATATTCCAGGTATAATTAGTGGTAGAACCACTCAGATGACCTGACAAAGACTATCCAAAATAACTTAATACTCTTCACCACTGCCTCTGAGGGTGTCAAGGATATATAGCAATCAGTGGTTCGCATTAGGCATTTCTTGTGTCTAGGGTAATTATTCAATCTAAGATAGGATTTTAAATCCTGGTCTGATTTGGTGAATGTATTACATGTTATGTATAATGCATGTGGCATTGCAACAAGAGGAGAATGATCAGTTGAGTTGCTAAAAATCAGCGATTAAAGGATTAACCAATAATACGATGATTGATTAATTACTGTTATCTTGCATGATGGATTTGTAGGTTTACTATAGAAGACAGATTACACCTTTTTCTGAGCATGAATTGCCTATGTTAAAACAACATACTTTTTCAAAGGATTAGCTGATAATACGTTGGTTGATTGCTCATTGTTGTCGAACTCAATAGATTTTTTTAAAGAACCATGGACATCATGAACATAGTTGTCACATGTGCTATCTCAGCTGACCAATGAGACATACCGGTATGACACCTATGTGAAAAACTGTGATCAGTTGAGAGACGAAGACAGGTCCCGTAATATCCAAATATGCTATATATATTTTAAAATATTATATTGTTACAAAAATAACGAGCATCAAACAAGTTTGGATGTTGGTCCTTTATGAGGATATTGACAGTGGTTTACATTCCTCGAACAAGGTTACTGCCTAATATTTTCCTGAATTTTTGGCGGTTGTAATTATGATATTTGCAAATTTCACAAGTTTTAAACTTATAATTTCTCATGCTATGTATATCTTCTTTTGTCTTGGATCCAATGTGGAAATACGTCTCCAGCTTCTAAATGAAAAATGTTCACCTGTAACACCCCTAGCATCTTCATGGTTACGATCCCAGGTGGTCAAATACGTGCCTCTTGAGCACGTTAACCTTCCATGCTTTACCACGTGCTGGTCACCTTGTGTGGACGTATTGCATGGACCAAGAGAATACATTTTTGTTTTCGTGAGACTTATTGCTGTTGGAGACGGTTTCAACCTGGGGATAAAGGATAAACTTAGTCTGGCCTGTGCTAAATGCTAACATGCCTATTCTGAAACAGATCTCCCTACCGATCCATCTCTAACCTCATCTACAGTGGTGGTTAGTGAAATCAAACGTTTGCGGTGGAGTCTCTTGAGGCCATTGGTCCCATCTCTTCATCTGTTTGTAGACGCATCAACAGTAGGTTGGGGAGCGCATTTTCATGATCTCCAGGTAGCAGGGTGTTGTTCCACGGGGGGTCGTTGCCTACACATCAACAATCTCGAGTTCAAGGCGGGCATTCTGGCAGTAACTCATTGGTCAGAGCTCCTATGCTACTCTCACCTGATGATACAGTCTGACAACACTGCAGAGGTACATAAATCAAATGGGATCCACAAAGTCGATGTCACTACTCTTGATCGCTCATCAACTCTCTCAACATCCACGCCCTAGCTTGCAGCATTCCAGGGGTCTCCATTTTATAGACTCCCTGCCCCGACCCGACAAACCATTGCCAACGGAGTGGTCTCTGAAACCAATAATCTTCCAATGGATCTGCCAATTATATCGGCCCCAAGAGATGGATCTGTTTACCACCCATTTCAACGCTCAGCTATCCTGATTCGTGTTGCCTATCCCTGACCTACAGGCTTGGGATCACGATGCTTTGTCAATCCCCTAGGAGGGAATCAATGCAAAAGCATTTCCTCCAACAGGCATTCTTCCCTGGGTGCTACATAATTTACCGCTTCAGGAAGACTTTCTACTTCAGCTGCATTCTCAGTGGCTCCAACCAGCCCTTGCAACAGCTCCACTGTTGCAGGACTTCTAACACTGCCGCTCCTACAAGCTGGTGGACCAATCTTCACAATTTAGACCCCCTGCATGGGACCTTAACCTGATACTACAACAGTTGACTTTCAGTGATTACGAGCCATTAGCAGATAAGAACTTTGAGACAATCACGCTGAAGACTGTATTTCTACTGGCCCTGGCAACAGCAGCTCGTGTTAGCGAGATACATGCTCTGGATGTCACCAGTTTGAATGATCAGAAGAGCATACCTACGCCTTCGTTAGGATTTTCTAGCAAAGAATCAACTTCCTGGCCAGCCTAATCAGTTATTTACGATTTCCCCGCTCTTGTCGATTTTGGGATCAGATGACCATGAAGATCTCTCCTTCTGTCCAGTTCGAACACTTTGTATTTATTTGAATGCATCATGTCAACACGGATTTCAAGGAAGAGATTTTCATCCCGCTATCAACCTCTCCGCCATCATGGAAGGGTGCTCCTGGAAGTCAGACACTCACTTCCTTTGCGACATCTCAGGCACAGATGTACAAGGTCTTCACAAGACCGGCCCTTTGATCTTGGCGCAAATACTGTCACAGCCCAACAAACACAGATAAAATATTATGTACATGTGATTCTCACTATGTTTTATGATTGTATATACTTATAAAATCTTTATGACATTGAGCTTGCATTAAATGTTTTATTGAATGTTCAGGTTTCCCAGACCCAGTTCTTCTTTGAGGGTGGATTAACTCATATCTAGAGACTAATAGTCTTCAACAATCAATTGCCACTTGACTAATTGGACGTTAATAAAAATAGGACAGTGTCCCGAACCTTTATTCCGCTCATGTCTGCCTCGAGTATGTGATTTGAGACTTTTGGTTCCAAGATCCTTTATTGATATTGTCGATCGTTCAGTCGTTCACCCTATACACAAAAATGTGTTTGAAAACCTTGACATAGCATTAAAAGAGATGCCAACTAATCGCATCTATTCTCCGGAGGTAGCGCTGTTACATGTTTGAAGAATCGATACCGGTAGACAAACTAAGGTGGTTTTAAGTCGTCAGCTGTTGCATTTAACTGTTTTACAGCTACGCGGTCATTTCTTGAAAGACAACATATGTGAAAGACATTCATCATATATTCCCGATCTCATGCTGTTTTGATCGAATAATGTATCGGGATCACCAACACCGTTCAATCAAGTGTTTTTTCCTCCTCACGGGTTCACAAGTTTCCTCGTGTATTCTCACGGTTGTAGTCTATACAGGCTAGGGTATCTGTGGCCCACCATCCAACCTTGGAAATTTTAAGTATAAATTGTATATTTCGCACCAAAATTCTCTGAAGGTTTTATTGGACATAATATGATGTCAATGGATAGCTTTCAAGTTATGTATGCAATAATCAAACAACAAAAACACAAGTCAGTTCGCCTGTAGGTACTTATTGTATACCATTGTTATGATATACGGTTTCTCATTCTTAGATCCTCTAATAGGTGTCGCTTCGCACATCACAGTGAAAATAACGCTGAACACTAGTCAAACCAGTCAAAATTATGGTCTATAATAAACAAATTTTGATTTCACGAAGAAAAAGCCTATCCAAATTTCAATACTTTCAACGTTGGAGTGTTGTTTCACTTTAAGCTATTGTGCTAGGGACATTGTACACCTGTGTCCTCACATATGAATTACTAAACTGATATATTCATATAGTGAAAAAAGAGGGTAAATCACATTCACAATAACTGTTAATTCTTCTAAGGGGAAGTCTCCAGAACTATTCTTGCATGACTAAAGTCTTTTATTGGCATGATGCAGGTGTTATTATGCATTGTCAGATACTAACACCTACTTGATAAGGGTGCTGTCATCTACACTAAGACATAGATCAACTGATTTTATGAGATTAAAATTGACTGACTGTCTCACTGATTATAAATAATTCATTGATGTTTACAATCACACAGGCCAAGGCCAAAGGTCGTAAGGCTGGCACTTACTTTGAGTCCTGGTATGGAGATGTCAAAAACGAGAAGGGCGGAGCAAGTCAGAAGTTTGAGCCTCCTCTGGATGACATGAGCATTGTAGACGTCCGCTTCATACGCCGCCTCGTACTGAGGGTGTTAGAGATGTTGTATTATGAACAGAAGTGGGAGAAGCTAACAGACATTGCTCTCAGATTCAGTGCTCTCTCAAAGTGAGTTTAACAAACACTCATTGCTGCAGCAACAGAATGCAATGCAAAATATTTTCCAAAACAAAATAATTCTGAAATGAAGTGATAATATGAAAGTGTTTGTTTTGTACAGAATTGATCCAAACTATTGTACAAGTGTACATTTTAGAATGAGACATTTATGTTAGTACATGTTTTATTATCTTCTTAACCTTAGCTGGATTCTAAAATACGAAGCCTAGAGTCTTTGATTTATTGTGATTGTGCATTGGCAGACATCAGTTGTGTTTTTAAAGGGAAAGGTAAATACAAAAATACAAAGGTATAAACAGTTGTTCAAATTCTTTGTAAGACACTGCTACAACTCCTGTGTTTATCCCCCTCCTAGTGACCGCTATGCAGAGCAAGTGATACCTCTCCTGGTCCAGGCACAAAGGAAGCTGGACCAGCGTATCACCAAACTTGGCGGAGTTGCCCCTCCTCAGCCTCACTTCCGTAAACTGATGGCCCAGTTAGGGGGTGTGATCAAGGCCAAGGACTACCTCAAGGCTCAACTACGGATTGAGATTAACAAGTCCAATGTGCAACAGTTTGAACCTGGCAGTCAAATCGATCCCATGGGGCACAATGTACATTCTTGTGAGTAATATTTTTTCCCAGAAAACTGAACCAAATAGTACATGTATGTTAAAAACTGTCAATTGTCTTTACAATTGTTGATGCCTTCTGCAAGACCATAAGGTCTCTGAAGCTTTGTCACATCTTATTTTTCAGATTTATTTGAGTTTGATCTGTTTTGAAATTTTTTATTGGCAAATATATCAGACATATTTTATAAATATATTTTTTTTTAATCTGTGTGTATATGTTGACAAAATCATCTCTCTTTTGGTGAAACGAGTGAAATGTGTGTCAATTGACATGTAGGGTTTACTGGTAGTAATGAATACCCTTACATGACTATTCAGTTAGCACTACTCCATACATTGTCAGTATGACAGTAATGTGTTTTGGCCTACAGCGGAAGACTCTCAGCGTCTGGTATCTGTTCCTGTTGATGCCAACAGTAGTCTGACGACTCTCCGCCACACCCTGGATGCTGCGCACTACACCGCCAGGGCACTACATCACAGCCGCAAGTTGCTGGTGCTGTACCTGGGAGGACAGATGAATGGTAAGATAGTTGTTACTAGTTACATTAATTTTGATGCAGACCAAGACTTTACAAAATATATGAAAAATCAAACTATATTTCAGATTGATTTTGATAGAAATACAGTGATATTATACATGTATTTGCTTATGATAATTTATTTGTTTCCTTTGATTTGTTTGAATTGACGAATGTCATGCTTTTGTAGCCATCTTGTGTCCCAAGTTACAGGGTGACTGTTAATTGAGAAACAATGAGGCAAAAAGGTACCGACAGATATCATCAGAATTATGAGATATTATTAGCGCTGTTTAAGACTGCCTAATTATTTCCTGCAGCATCTGAAGCACCTCTGAGCAAGTCTCCATCCAAGGTTGAGTTTATGCCCAACACAGCTCATCCCCAACCCACGATGGCGCCAGATTTGAGCCAGGAGGACTTCTTGTCTGTCAGCGACATCCAGACATCACCAGTACCACGCTCACAGCTCGGAACTGTCATCTCATCTTATGAAAAAACTATAGGTATTGTTAAAGGAATTCTTTTCATATGGAGTATCACTTTTTATATTTTATGTTACGAGGATTTATTCCAGCTTTTTCACCGAAGGTCGGTTGAAAATTATTTATTTATATATTTATATATTTGTTGCTTTTCAGTAGGGGCAGCGGACCCGTGAAACAAAAAAATATAAAAAATGTGTGGCCTTGTCCTACACTGTGAAAAATAGACAATTAAAGTCATGACTACAGTAGTCGGACAACTACAAAAACTTGACTGTTGATATGAATAATCAAGAAGTTTCCTTCATTCCCAAAAGCTAACAGACATGACTTCTTTGAGCAGCATTTAGAAGTTGGGATGATGAACAATCATCAACCTTGTATAAACATCAATTATACACATGTATATAACCTTCCTACTTCACATGTCTGTACATCACTTGCTTGATAACATTGTTAGTATCTACACTGAAACGTCGCATTCATTGTAATAAAGAAGTGCTATATCCATAGAACTATTTCCCTTGTTCTAACAGACATGGGTTTTTAGTTATACAATGTTTAGTTATTCCGGAGACAACCATACTAGTGTTTATTTACTTTTACTTATACATAAGCATATCCTAACAGTAGTAAACAAATACATGTATACCCCAAGACAAAAGAATATATGGATACAACTGTACAACTTCCAGGGTATATATGGAGTGATGCCTAACCTCCTGCCACGTTAGGTGTAGAACTTAACTGGTTATCCAAGCTGGCCATAAAGACAAAGGGTTTGAAGAGAAACTGTGTGGCTGCTACACTAAAATATAAGTGTTGTTACTAACAGTGTAATGTTGAAGGTATAAAAATCCATATATTAAAATAAGACTAAGACTGTGACTGACAAAGCAGTTATTTTCAACTTATCATGCATTACAAATTGCACATTGCTGTTATTAATCAAGTCCTAACTAGAAATGAATGGCGATCTATCAGCGTCTTCAGTAACTTTTTTGCCCAACATGACCTTCATGACCGAGTGTGCCTCCCTCTGTTAAAAAGACTGCCTTACCTATATCAGAGTCATCACCAAGAGGAAACAACAACAAGCATTTCGCAGAATGTCTGACAACTCCACTGCCTCCTCATTGCCTTGACTGCCGGCCTTGCCCAGGCCTAACACATTGACCAAGCTTATTAAGATGACTGCGCCTTCAGCGGTGGCACCTCCCAGTGTACAGGATGCACCTCCTACATGGGCCCTTCAAGTGATTGGACAGTTCCAAAGTCTGTCAGCTCAGGCAGCAGCATTTAGAATTCACCGGACAGCCACTCACCAACCAGACGCAGGAAATCAGGGTCATCCATATCTTAGCGAGCGCCTTCCACAGATCTTGATTACGATAAGGAGGAACCTCATGCCTGCCTCCATTACTCTGATATAGTTCCTTGGATTGCAGATTTTCCTCCTACAGCAGCATCCCCCAAACAAGGAGCAGACCCAAAAGGCTTGCAATATGGAAGGATGACTTGTTCTACCAGAGTGAGCTTTCTTAAGATCTCCCAACTCTCAGATCTCATCCCTGGATACTGAATTGACTCTTTCCGCCAGGGCAGCTACCAGCTGCGCTCTGACTTAAGAATCGAGCTAAGGAAAGACAAGATAAGGATTTATTTCATGGCAAGGGTTGTGGTGTCTACCCCAGAGGTGGATCTAACCATTGAAGCCAATGCAGTTTCTCTGAGAGGAGAGGATCAAAGAAGTGACTCTCCAGGGGACAGTCATGACTGGGAACTCTCCCCCCAAGCTGTCCCAATCCGTGACTCACCAGTAGGGGGAAGACACTCTCTGTTTTGGAAAAAATTGGATTCCTCTTCTTGGGGACCCTTTTGTAATGAAGTCGCTAAAACACAGCTATCTCCTCACACGCTTAGAGACACCCCCCCACCCCACCCCCACCCCCACCCCCAGACCAATACCTCGACTGGTGGCTAATCTCATCGCACACCTTAAAAGGTGTCTCCTTGACAGAATTCAAAGTGTCCGTTCACCTATTGGTAGTAGCATCACTCCAAGTTTTGGGAGCCTAACTCTTGGACCAGACAGCCTCAGGGCTGTTGTCTCCAGAACAAAAACAGTGGCACATAAGCAACTTGAATTGAAGGCTGTCATCCTGGCAGTACAGCACTGGGCTCACCAACGCCAAGCTAATGATTGCCACAGACAACACAACAGTCGTCTAGTTCATCAACAAGCAGGGATCGACCCTACAACTTAATAGACAGGATTCCGTTGGAGGCCAGATATATACACGCCTTGGTGCAGAAATGTCCTAGCCATGTGGAAGCTACACTCAGAGTGCATCCATCTTCATGACAAAACACACGTTGTCGACGTTCATGTCTCCAATGCCGGACCCTTAGTCCTGGACCGTCAATGCTGTAGCAAGAGAATGGGAAGGTCTCAGCACCTATGCATTCCCTCCACCAGCAATCCTGCCCAAGGTGATCCAAAAGATCAACTCATCTGGTTCTTGTCTCTGTTACATGTATGTCGCTAGGAAACTATTTCTAAAGCTTCCAGAGTAGGCCAATCACAGCCATTGCCTCTGTCCGTCTCCAGTTCAAACTTCACGCCTGGGTCATATGCAGAAGGCTAAGGGTTACACAAGGAGAGCAGCCCAGACCTACAGACCACCCGCCAGGGGGCTGCATGACATTAAATGTACCTAGCTACGTACCTGTCCACCATCAATACCATCTCTGCTGTTGCTCAAGACCGGAAGCTCTCCGTGATACCAGAGTAGACAGTTGTCATCAGGAGTTTCAGGTTGGAAGACTAGACGGTGAAGGTCTGTCCTGCCTCCTGATAAATTGCCATTCGTTTCCTAACTTCATTAGCAAGAACAATGTACAATATGTAATGCAGGATAAGTATATAAAAAAAAACATAATATTCTGATTATGGAATGTTTATTTTCATGACTGATAATAAAATCTGAAAAAATTATATTATTATGGCAAATGCAAAAAATACTTAAAACCTGTCACTACAACATTATAGTGTTACAAGGGGGCACGGATGGCCAAATCGTCTAAGGCGCCGCGATTCGCTATGCAGAGTTGCGTCCCTTGGGCACGCCAGAAACCTATGATTGTGGGTTCGAATTTTGGTTCGCCCCGATTATGTTTCTAGTTTTGTCAGCACTATACCCGTGCTCTCGGGTTTCACCGAAGTGGTAAACATCCGAGACTTGCATCACTTCGGGCTTTCCTCCCACATTAAGCTGACACGCCGCGATATACTGTTAAAAGCGGCGTTAAACCCAACTCACTCACTCACTCACTCACTCACTCACTCACTCACTCACTCACTCACTCACTCACTCACTCACTCACTCACTATAGTGTTACAAGGCAGTTTTCAATTTTGTATTACTAACTTTCTGTTTTCTAGACATGTTGATGGCAAAGAATCAGAAAGGTCTTGCTTCCCAGGCCATGAGGGAACTAGGCAATGTGCTGTATCACACTGGCAACATCAGAGGAGCATACAGGTGCTGGTCAGACTCACTGGACATTGTGCTCAACACCACAGATACTCTCCACTCCTGGCGTGAGCTGCTGCAGGGACCTGATGACATTAGCCAGGAGCTGCTCAAGAGATGTGGACTGTGGGGCTGTGTTCAGGGAGGCATACTGGCATCTAACATGGCACAGTAGGTTTAACACGGGGCTGTGTTCAGGGAGACATACTGGCATCTAACATGGCACAGTAGGTTTAACACGGGGCTGTGTTCAGGGAGACATACTGGCATCTGACATGGCACAGTAGGTTTAACATGTGGCTGTGTTCAGGGAGACATACTGGCATCTAACATGGCACAGTAGGTTTAACACGGGGCTGTGTTCAGGGAGACATACTAGCATCTGACATGGCACAGTAGGTTTAACACGGGGCTGTGTTCAGGGAGACATACTGGCGTCTGACATGGCACCGTAGGTTTAACATGTGGCTGTGTTCAGGGAGACATACTGGCATCTTACATGGCACAGTAGGTTTTAACACGGGGCTGTGTTCAGGGAGACATACTGGCATCTTAAATGGCACAGTAGGTTTTAACACAGGGCTGTGTTCAGGGAGACATACTGGCATCTGACATGGCACAGTAGGTTTAACATGTGGCTGTGTTCAGGGAGACATACTGGCATCTAACATTGCATAGTAGGTTTAACACAGGGTTTTGGTCAGGGAGACATACTGGCATCTAACATTGCATAGTAGGTTTAACACGGGCTGTGTTCAGGGAGACATACTGGCATCTAACATTGCACAGTAGGTTTAACACGGGGTTTTGGTCAGGGAGACATACTGGCATCTGACATTGCATAGTAGGTTTAACACGGGGCTGTGTTCAGGGAGACATACTGGCATCTAACATTGCATAGCAGGTTAAACATGTGGCTGTGTTCAGGGAGACATACTGGCATCTAACATTGCACAGTAGGTTTAACACCGGGCTGTGTTCAGGGAGGCATACTGGCATCTAACATGGCACCGTAGGTTTAACACCGGGCTGTGTTCAGGGAGACATACTGGCATCTAACATGGCACAGTAGGTTTAACACGGGGTTTTGGTCAGGGAGACATACTGGCATCTGACATGGCACAGTAGGTTTAACATGGGGCTGTGTTCAGGGAGACATACTGGCATCTGACATGGCTCAGTAGGTTTAACACGGGGCTGTGTTCAGGGAGACATACTGGCATCTGACATGGCACAGTAGGTTTAACATGGGGCTGTGTTCAGGGAGACATACTGGCATCTAACATGGCACAGTAGGTTTAACATGGGGCTGTGTTCAGGGAGACATACTGGCATCTTACATTGCACTGTAGGTTTAACACGGGGCAGTGTTCAGGGAGACATACTGGCATCTAACATGGCACAGTAGGTTTAACACGGGGCTGTGTTCAGGGACACATACTGGCATCTAACATGGTTCAGAAAGTTGAACGTTTGAATAAATTGGTACATTTGATAGTAAATCTTCTATTAAAATCCATTGCTTCAGTTCAGTAGTTAGGTTTGACTTTGTACAAGGTTATAAAAATACATGCTTACTTTGTTTGATAGATTCACATACTCTCACTTGTACTTTGAGCTGACATGTGAAACTGCTATTTACCATTGATATTTGTTTACAGGTATGTGTTAACCTCTGACCTTGGACTGCAAATGGAATGTTGCTTCTTGTCTGGCTTCTTCTTCAAGGTAAGGCCTATAAAGTGAGAGTTCAAGGTAAGGCCTATAAAGTGAGAGTTCAAGGTAAGACCTATAAAGTGACAGTTCAAGGTAAGGCCTATAAAGTGAGAGTTCAAGGTAAGACCTATAAAGTGACAGTTCAAGGTAAGACCTATAAAGTGAGAGTTCAAGGTAAGACCTATAAAGTGAAAGTTCAAGGTAAGACCTATAAAGTGAAAGTTCAAGGAAAGACCTATAAAGTGACAGTTCAAGGTAAGGCCTATAAAGTGACAGTTCAAGGTAAGACCTATAAAGTGACAGTTCAAGGTAAGACCTATAAAGTGAAAGTTCAAGGTAAGACCTATAAAGTGACAGTTCAAGGTAAGGCCTATAAAGTGACAGTTCAAGGTAAGACCTATAAAGTGAGAGTTCAAGGTAAGACCTATAAAGTGAGAGTTCAAGGTAAGGCCTATAAAGTGAGATTTCAAGGAAAGGCCTATAAAGTGACAGTTCAAGGTAAGGCCTATAAAGTGACAGTTCAAGGTAAGGCCTATAAAGTGACAGTTCAAGGTAAGGCCTATAAAGTGACAATTCAAGGTAGGACCTATAAAGTGACAGTTCAAGGTAAGACCTATAAAGTGACAGTTCAAGGAAAGACCTATAAAGTGACAGTTCAAGGAAAGACCTATAAAGTGACAGTTCAAGGTAAGGCCTATAAAGTGACAGTTCAAGGTAAGGCCTATAAAGTGACAGTTCAAGGTAGGACCTATAAAGTGAGAGTTCAAGGTAAGACCTATAAAGTGACAGTTCAAGGTAAGGCCTATAAAGTGACAGTTCAAGGTAAGGCCTATAAAGTGACAGTTCAAGGTAAGGCCTATAAAGTGACAATTCAAGGTAGGACCTATAAAGTGACAGTTCAAGGTAAGACCTATAAAGTGACAGTTCAAGGAAAGACCTATAAAGTGACAGTTCAAGGAAAGACCTATAAAGTGACAGTTCAAGGTAAGGCCTATAAAGTGACAGTTAAAGGTAAGACCTATAAAGTGAGAGTTCAAGGTAAGACCTATAAAGTGACAGTTCAAGGTAAGGCCTATAAAGTGACAGTTCAAGGTAAGGCCTATAAAGTGACAGTTCAAGGTAAGGCCTATAAAGTGACAATTCAAGGTAGGACCTATAAAGTGACAGTTCAAGGTAAGACCTATAAAGTGACAGTTCAAGGTTACACTGCATTTCACACAAAACACCTAAATCAACAAGTCAGTTTGTATATTGGAAGGATGATTGTGTTCAACAAGACAACATTCTTGATTAGTTGGTTAGAATGTGTTTTGTAGACGTCCTTTGCTCCACTGTGATTTCTCACTCTGTTTCAGGGACTGTTCCGGTCATCTCTCCCTCACCCGACTGCTGACCGGGATTATGCTATGTACGAGGTGGGTGAAGGTTGTGAGGTCACAAACCTTGTACCAGGGGTTGACTTCCTGTCTGACAGATTCCGCTGTGATGGCCGACAACTTGTTTCTGCACTGAGATGGGTGACTGAAGAACTTTCCAGAGGAAAGCACAACCTCTTTGTAAGTGAAGTCTTTCTCTCTTTCACATTATGGCTTATGCTTGACTATAATATTTGTCCATTTTAAGTTTTGGTCAACTGAACATTTGTCTTGCATGCATATTTCAGAGTTTTGTTACCAAAGATGAAGATGATGAGCAGTTGTTTTTTTATGAGAATTGTTTTTCTGTTTTGCCAGGTTCTTCCATTGTTGACCTTATACCAGTATTTCACCACCTTTGTGTGTCGAGATCTGCAGCGAACTGTGGATGGCCGGATCCTGAAGGTTCGGATCTTGACTGACCTGAGCCTGTACACGGAGGCCTTCATCACACTGCAGAGACTGTTACATGGTGAGCGTCTTCCCCACACAGGAGACAGCAACTTCAGACAGGTCGAGTCTCGAATGAGCTCCATCAGGTTCAACACTGCCAAGCCTCTCACAGACCGAGTCAATCTCCGGGTAAGAAAATTTCCATTCTTACTCACCACTATGAGTCATCCTTGTGAAGTATTTAATCTGTGTGCTTCATGTAGTAAATGATTTATGTAACATCTTCAGGTCATAGAGGCTGTCCTGGACAAGCGCCTATCGTCCAGTCTGGGCACCTTATATGGGCCTCACATGACTTGCCATCTCTCCATCGTCCAGGCTCACCTCTTTGTAACCATAGCCAACACTATCCCTGTCCTGCCTGCTGCTGAGGATGTGATGTAGGTTGACACTGTCACAGAGCACTTTATCTTGCTCTTCATTATCTGGTGCTTTAATATATAAGTAAAACGTATCAAAATGATAGATCAGGGTATGCAGTCATATATATTGACAGATGTTGCCAGAATCAGATAAATCTAAGTCATTAAATGTGAATGAATGAAACAGTTGGGATGGACTACTTGAAACTAAACAGATATTGCAAAGTATACATAATTTGTTCAGACAGATTTTTTTTAATTCCCACCATGTCACATGAAACTACTGTCCTGATGAACAGGATTTCACTGTTGGAGACACCAGGACCAAATTCCACTGTAGGAGACACCAGGACCAAATGGTTTTCTCGGTTCTACTCTCTGCAACTGTAATATATGTAACACTCAGATCTATGGTTGGCCTGGGATCTGCAGTGGCTTGTCTCATCTGCAGCAGTAGTCAACTTCTGTATGACGTCATGATCCACATACTTGCAGCTTGCTGGAGGGCCAGGTCTACATGAAGCCACGCACTATCAGCACCATATCCCGTGGTGGGCTGGGCAGTAGGGGCCCCAAGCTGTCTCAGTACTCCATGAGGTCCCCACACGACTCCCCGAGAGATGGTATGTCCTTCAGACCTAATGCAGGGGAAGGGAATTGGTTAGAGTGGTTGTTTGTCAGACAAACCATGGTATTATTGCCTTGATGGGCATGTAGAATACAGGTTACCAGTGGTTAAAAGAGCTGCAGTGGGCTATGCAGAGTTGCCTCTCCCAAATGTACTAGTATCACCTAGTTCTGGGTTTAAATCCAAGTTAACTTGATTATCAGATTTGGTCTGTTGATTCCGGACACCTCACTTTTTGCAGCATCCATTGATATATTTAGATGTTTTGTAGGTGACCATGTATACGAAGTTTCACTGAGTGTAGAAGTATTGCAACACTATTACAAACTCGTTTGGTGATTTGTTTCATAAGAAACACAATGTTCAATTGTGTGACAACTAAATGCACCCATCCTTTTCATTAAAACAGTACCTCACTTTTTAACCTTCAAGAGATGAAACGTTTAAAATAATGTTAGTGCAATGATAATCACTTGAATGAAGATATATTGGGAAATTTATGTAAGTGTAACTTGTTGATGTTCGGTACACTATTTAGTTACGTCATAATGGGCTGACATCATGCTCCTGTTCAAAATACCACCCCCTTAATCTAACTTATCTAATCTAACAATGTTCTATCATTAATGTCAATCAAGATGGTGCATACACATCAATATTAGTGATCAGTGAAATACAGGGAATCACTGTTGTGTCGAACTTTGATGTATCAAACTTACGGTTGTCTCGAAGTAAAAGCTTGGTCCGAGCGTATTCCTTCTTTATTTATCATTTTTGGTTATGTCGACTGTGGAAAACTCCAAGTACTTACATACGGCCATTTAACTTCGACACAACAGTGTTTGACTGTTGTTTCTTAAAATTTACTGAATATATTTGTATTCTACTGATTACTTGATGAGATGATGGATCACACACTGAACTGATAATAATAAAAACTAATAACTAATTTAACCATAAACAAACATTTTAGTGTTTTTTTATTATATTTAAGAGTACAACATAGTTAGTCTCTTAATGTATGGGTGCAGGCAATTACCGGCAGATGGAAAAGCCTGTCAGTTTAATTTTAAACCCATTTCCAAAAAGTAAACACAAGGTAAGTCTTAAATTCAATGTCTTAGAAAGTAATAAGTTCGCTCTGAACGTTTGTGTAGTGTAATAAAGTATAGCTTTGCCCTGAACTATTATAGTTGAAGCACAAGGAATGGGCTTTATTACACTACACATAGGAGTAGAGCCAACGTTATTTCATTGATAATGTATTGGGAGGTGTCACCTTCTTCCCATGAGATTTTCTCAAATTTGACAAGGTCGGCCTGTTAATGGTCAATGTCCAGCTGAAATGACCATGTGATTCTTGCTGCAGTTGATGAGGACAGTGATGAAACTGTGGGTGGGTGTAGTCGCCGCTTCACCGAGAGCAAGAAATCTATGACAGTGGACGCAGTGAAGGGAACGCTGCTGTCAGTGGCGGAGAAGATGGTGTCGACTATATCCGAGGTCATCGTTGAGAATGCTGAGAACGACAAAGCAGGTTCAGTGGTCACTGTGATTTACTTTGTGTAACTTGTGACACTCTGACATATAAGTGCTAAATTTAAGGTTGAGAACGTTATTTTATAGTTACTAAGAATAGGCGGTTCATATATACATTGATATGACTTATATTGTACATACATTTAAAAATTTCATCCTGTAATACCTGTGTTTGATGACAACAGGACTCTCATCGTTGTCAGCCGCTGAGTTAGAGCTTGTGGTTCTGTGTAAACTCGAGCAGGCAGCCATTGCTCGTCAGAAGCACCATGCACCTCTTGCAGCACGGATTGTGCTTTCTGCTCTCAAGATGCTGCAGAACTCTGGGCTCTTTCAAGCCAAGAAAGATACACCTCCACCACCCAGGTAAAACCATGATGTGGTCAGATAGGGAGAGTGGGATACAGTTGAGACTCTGTGGTATTTTGTATCCTACTTTCCCGAGTACCTTCTTTATCTGACATCTTACATCCAAACAAATTTCTGAAGATACTAATCTCAAAGATATTTAGTTCAACATAGTCTGTGTATACCTTGTTATACTAAGCAGGGCGTACTGTTGTTTTGGAGTGATTTACCTATCACAGTGAAGCATTGTTTGTGCATATACATATATATCTTGCTTCATAATATCACAACCTGTAACACTGCTTCAACTGGCAGTGCAGTGGGATGCAACTAATGTGTTTTGTTGATTGAAGTTGTGATTTATAATAAAATTAAAACATAAACATATCTTATACCATGCACATCTACTCATCATTTTCAAGCCCAGAATTCAAACTTGAAACAAATTCTATAATATGAGTACATGTTTGTTTATTTGTTGATCATTTTCAATCAGGAAATGTTGCCAATAGCATCTCGAAGATAAAGGGTTAAGATGACATGTTGATATTCAAACCATGATATATTAAATCTTCCAGGGAATGGCAACGCAGGTAAATGTTTATTTAAGCATTCTTCATGTCACTGTTGAGACAATTCTCTCTCACTTCCACTCTCATCACTGTTACATCATCGTTCCATCATCGTTCCATCACCATTCCATCACCGTTCCATCACTGTTCCATCACTGGTTCATCTCTCGTTGTATCAGTTCTCTTACATCACTGTTCCATCACTGGATCATCTCTCACTGTATCAATTCTATCACATCACTGTTCTATCACTGGATCATCTCTCACTGTATCAGTTCTCTTACATCACTGTTCCATCACTGGATCATCTCTCACTGTATCAGTTCTCTCACATCTCTGTTCTATCACTGGATCATCTCTCACTGTATCAGTTCTCTTACATCACTAGTCTATCACTGGATCATCCCTCACTGTATCAATTCTATCACATCACTGTTCTATCACGGGATCATCTCTCACTGTATCAGTTCTCTTACATCACTGTTCCATCAGTAGATCATCTCTCACTGTATCAGTTCTGTCACATCACTGTTTCATCACTTGATCATCTCTCACTGTATCAGTTCTCTTACATCACTGTTTCATCACTGGATCATCTCTCACTGTATCAATTCTCTTACATCACTGTTCCATCACTGGATCATCTCTCACTGTATCAGTTCTCTTACATCACTGTTCCATCACTGGATCATCTCTTACTGTATCAGTTCTCTCACATCACTGTTCCATCACTGGATCATCTCTCACTGTACCAGTTCTCTCACATCACTGTTCCATCACTGGTTCATCTCTCACTGTATCAATTCTATCACATCACTGTTCTATCACTGGATCATCTCTCACTGTATCAGTTCTCTAACATCACTGTTCCATCACTGGATCATCTCTCACTGTATCAGTTCTCTTACATCACTGTTCCATCACTGGATCATCTCTCACTGTATCAGTTCCCTCACATCACTGTTCCATCACTTGATCATCTCTCACTGTATCAATTCTATCACATCACTGTCCTATCACTGGATCCTCTCTCACTGTACCAGTTCTCTCACATCACTGTTTCATCACTGGATCATCTCTCACTGTATCAGTTCTCTCACATCACTGTTCCATCACTTGATCATCTCTTACTGTATCAGTTCTCTTACATCACTGTTCCATCACTGGATCATCTTTCATTGTATCAATTCTCTTACATCACTGTTCCATCACCGGATCATCTCTCACTGTATCAGTTCTCTTACATCACTGTTCCATCACTGGATCATCTCTTACTGTATTAGTTCTCTTACATCACTGTTCCATCACTGGATCATCTCTTACTGTATCAGTTCTGTCACATCACTGTTTCATCATTTGATCATCTCTCACTGTATCAGTTCTCTTACATAACTGTTTCATCACTGGATCATCTCACACTGTATCAATTCTCTTACATCACTGTTCCATCACTGGATCATCTCTCACTGTATCAGTTCTCTTACATCACTGTTCCATCACTGGATCATCTCTCACTGTATCAATTCTATCACATCACTGTTCTATCACTGGATCATCTCTCACTGTATCAGTTCTCTTACATCACTGTTCCATCACTGGATCATCTTTCATTGTATCAATTCTCTTACATCACTGTTCCATCACTGGATCATCTCTCACTGTATCAGTTCTCTTACATCACTGTTCCATCACTGGATCATCTCTTACTGTATCAGTTCTCTTACATCACTGTTCCATCACTGGATCATCTCTCACTGTATCGGTTCTATCACATCACTGTTCCATCACTGGATCATCTCTCACTGTATCAATTCTCTCACATTACTGTTTCATCAGTTGATCATCTCTCACTGTATCAGTTCTATCACATCACTGTTCCATCACTGGTCAATCTCATTAAAATCATATCATATTTCTCACTACCCCAAGACAAAGGTCAGAGGACATCCCATTAAGGTCACGTCAGAATGACCTTTAATCCGACCTATCAGAGCGTTGCTTACCAGATCAGTAAAGTGACAGTCAGCTTGTGTTTTCAATGATGCAACCTTGGAAAGATTAACATGAGGTATTCCAAATGACAGTTAAGGGCTGTATGACTGGGTCCGTCAATATCATTGTCTTTCTCTCGCTTCAATGGGATACACATTTGAAATGGAAGAGACCTTCCATAGCCCATTGGAAGTACTGCCAAACAATATTGGTCATTTCAGAATGTTCTTTTGTTCAATTTGTAGGGAGAACTTTGTCAAACTATTATTCAAAGCATAGTCGGAAATGGAAATCGTCAGTTTGAAACTTGTGCCATAAAGTGTGAGAAAGCCGCATTCTGATGAGCTAATGTCAACTTCTTGTTAGTCATTTCACAGGTTAGTCAAAGTTCAAGAAAGGTCATTCTGACATGACCAGTTTTGGGATGTCCTCATATCTTTGAGTGGGTGAGCACTAAGATCTGATATTAAAGAGATTGATCACTGGTTCATCTCTCACATCACCATCACTGTTATGTCACCTTAACTTGCCTCAGTGCGTCACTTGTCTCTCATCACTGTCACATGACTGGTACTCACTGGAACAGACGGCACTTGATAGCATCTATATACTCACTTACTATAGTGTACATCTGAAAGGGGAAAAAAACATTTAATATAGTTCTTCTGTCGTGTATGAAATAAATGTAGGTTCACCAAATATTCCATAAGATGTTCATAAATAGCATATTCAATGGGATGGTCACCTTCACATGATATTTTCTCCTATTTGATGAGTTACACCCTTTGGTATGGTCTGGGGCTACTCAGTGTCCAGCTGAAATGTACCACACCCCAACATATGTAAGAAACATTGAAATGGTAAATTGTTGTAGGGCATTATTATTTTATTTTTATTTTATTTTTATTTTATTACATGGATCTGCCAAAATGGAGACTTTTATATAATGATCCAAGACTTTGCCAAAATATAACGCACTTTATCTCACCTTACATTAAAATACTAGCTTCTGACTGGTTAAGGAGAGGACAATTATTTCCCATGTAGCCCGCTCATGTACCCTTCGGAGAAATCAGTTGTTACACATCGTAGGTAACTTGATTATCTCGCATAACTATTGTTGAGCTCTAATGAACTGATGTTTATCAGAATGCATTGGGTAAAGGGAAGTAACTCGATTCATTTATGTCGTCTGCTAGCCATCAAAATGGCTGCAACAAAGCATTTTGATCTGTGAAACTTCAGACATATGTTCCGGGTCTGTATGAATGAACGTCGGTGAGATAAATTTATGTAAGGCGAGGGGTACATAGGGTCACACACAGGGTACATCACACTATATACCCCTTGAGATCAGTTGACAACTTCTATTGTCTTCCCAGAAAAGCTGAAGTTTTGCTGCAGATAAAATGGCTCCATGGTGGACTGTTGTTTCATATGTGATATAAATCCAAATGACATTGAGTGACTTTTTTTAATTACCCAGTAGTCATTTTTACCCCTTACTCGAACTTCTGACTTCAGGAGAAAAAACCCTGTAATGGACAGATATGAATATACTAGCCAGATCTGAGAATGTAAGATACGAATAGCTCAACAAAGTTTCATATTAGGGCTGGGACGGTTACTCGGGTACTCGGGTCGGGTAGGTACTGAGTAGGACCTGGGTACCCACAGGACTAACCGAACCCACAGTTAGTCACGTGATATATTGTTAAATGACAAAGATTATCTGGGTAGGGTTGGGTAACAGGGGGCTGGGTACCTGGGTAGGGTTGGGTAATAGGGGGATGGGTACCTGGGTAGGGCTGGATAATAGGGGGTTGGGTACCAGGGTAGGGTTGGGTAATAAGGGATTTGGTATCTGGGTAGGGTTGGGTAATAGGGGGTTGGGTACCTGTGAAGGGTTGGGTAATAGGGTGTTGGGTATCTGGGTAGGGTTGGTAATAGGGGGTTGGGTATCTTGGTAGGGTTGGGTAATAGGGGGTTGAGTACCTGGGTAGGGTTGGGTAATAGGGGGTTGGGTCCCCGGGTAGGGTTGGGTAATAGGGGGTTGGGTCCCCGGGTAGGGTTGGGTAATAGGGGGTTGGGTCCCCGGGTAGGGTCAGGTAATAGGGGGTTGGGTACCTGGGTAGGGTTTGGTAATAGGGGGTTCGGTACCTGGGTAGGGTTAGGTACTGGGGTAGGGTTGGGTAATAGGGTGTTGGGTACCTGGGAAGGGTTGGGTAATAGGGAGTTGGGTACCTGGGTAGGGTTGGGTAATAGGGGGTTGGGTACCCGGGTAGGGTTGGGTAATAAGGGGTTGGGTCCCTGGGTAGGGTTGGGTAATAGGGGGTTGGGTACCCAGGTAGGGTTGGGTACCCAGGTAGGGTTGGGTAATAGGGGGTTGGGTACCCGGGTAGGGTTGGGTACCTGGGAAGGGTTGGGTAATAGGGGGTTGAGTACCTGGGTAGGGTTGGGTAACAGGGTGTTGGGTACCTGGGTAGGGTTGGGTAATAGGGGGTTAGGTACCTGGGTAGGGTTGGGTAATAGGGGGTTGGGTACCTGGGTAGTAAAGTTGGACTCATCCCATCCCTATTTCATATGCGTCTGCTCTTCGCAAAGTGGCATTCATTTACTTTTAGAATTAAAAGTTTTTGATAAATATTTGATGGTCTCTGGTTCATTGAAAGAGATATTCGATTTGTAGGATAGAGGTACATGATGTATGACAGAAATAGTGTCTCTAACTGTATATATATATAGGAAGACTGTTACTTACTCTGCTGGCTTTGACAATGGAGGTGTGTGTTTTCTACTAAACTCTCTCCCTCATATTGGTTCTGTATATGTCTAACAAGTAACAGTAGGTACAGTCATAAACTAACACATGTATTACAGAAAACTAATGTGTCACATCTATACTTCTTAATTATTTGATGTATTATAACTGTATTAAAGAGAATGTTGCGGAAAAAGGTTCAACTTAATTCCTTTTATCTTGCCATTCTCCTGTCCTGCTTGAAATTGTGTTTTCCTGTTTTCCCCTGATCTGTGTGGCTATGTTGCATGTCATCGCATGGTGTCAAGCGTAGTGTTTTCGTCTCCTGTTTTGGGCTTGTATTCATTATCAGAAGGTGGATAAGAGTGACAAGTCCACCCAATACACATGTGAATATACACATGAACATGGTCCAGTATGTATGCATTACAATCTGGCACTTATGCTTGTCGTAAAAAGCAGCAAAATGTTGACTAGGCAGATAAACTCTTCTTTGGTGCCTTGACTCACTGCCACATGTTTATATCTCAAGCTAGACCAATTTGATTTTTATTGAGTTTCTTAGTCAAAATGCAAAGACACTAGAGGCAAAAACTAACTTGACTACAGGTGAAATACAATAAAATATGATAATTTGAAAATGTCTGTTGATTTGATTTGAGTAGTTCTGTTATTTTGCCAAAAAATAGTAGTTCAATTTCTTTGAGTTCAAGTTAAAATGATGTACTGTTGTTGCTAGGTATATATTGTCTCTACTGGAGGGGTTGGATTGGGAGCAGGGTCAGATGGCTAAAAACATGGTTACAATGTATCCCATACTAACATATGTCTGATTGTTATGGCATTCATCAATCCTGCAGTACAATGTGAAGCTGTTAGCATGGGTATTATCAATGAAGGTAAGGAGAATGGTTTGTAGCCAAGCATGAGACAGTTCTAGGAAGTGTTACTGCATTATGTCAATACCACTGCCTATACCTCCTCACGATACTGGTGGGTAAGTATTCGAATACCAAGTTTATCTTGGCTTTGGGTCAGTTTTCATAATTATTTCCTGCAGTTTAAGAATTGTTAGTTCGGGAATTAGAAAACAATTACAAAATTTAAAAGAATCCAGAATAAAATGGTTAAATGTTTGATGATTACAAAAGTACCTGTGTAATTGTCCTCAACAAGGACTTACATTAGGATAAATCAAAATGAAAAGGAATATGGAATATTTAAAAACTACAATATCTTCTCACACAGAAATACAATACACAAGCTCCAATTCATATCTATTACAGTTTGAATAATAATTGCAGTTTTTAGACAAAATGTTTGATGAATTGAAAGTAGAATTTATGCAGAAACGTTTTGCAATAATACTTTTATTACATAACAGACTTAGGAGAGAAACAAAAGATATTTTTGTACAGTCCACACACATAGCGATCTTCACTGAAGTAAGTTGTGTCCCAGCACCCATTAGGTCCCTTTTCTCCGGGCGGGTCACATTTCAAGATAAAGTAGTTGTGATAATATACGTTTCTTACTTTTTCATTTGAAGTATTTCCCCCTTTTGCCTTTAGGCCATCATCCATGAAGGGTCGTCACAGTGGGTCTCGACGACTTCCTCCCATGGAAAATATTAAACTGACTGATTCTGATAACACCCAGTTCCAATATCAGAACTTCCAGAGTCGGTCACGCCTCGACACCCGTCTGTGGCTGCACTGTCGCCTCGCACTCGTCTCCAGCCTCATCATGGAGGTCCGAGGAATGGGAGACGTTAAAGGTGAGAACATTTGTTGTATATGTCATGAAATTTTCCACTTCTGTCTGACTTAAAACGTGGCCATTTGTATCACCTTACCACCTTGCAAGGAGGCTTGGCCCAAAAAGACATGTAGAAAAGAACACCCCTCTGGCCTAATTTACTGAAAACAGATTAATGAAAATGTAACCAAATTTTTTTCTAGTGGCCTGATTTTAATGCAGGGAAAATTGATAAGTTTATTGAAAATAGTCATGAAATTTTTAATGATATTTGGTATTTATCAGAAATTGGAAAATACACAATGAACAGATGAATATAGTAACTGAATAGAATAATAATATATCAAATATATTTTTGACTTATCCTGCATTTCATATAATTCCATATGTAATGTAGAGTAAGTATATAAATATAAAAAAGTATTAGATATTGTTAAATTATTTATATTTTATTATCATGATGACGATTGACTACTTGATATTGTTTTAGTTATATCTAGATGTCCTACAAAATGTTTCATTGTCCGCGAGGCTGTGATCTATGTGAGATGTACATGTGTCTGCTGCAGGGAGTGAGAACAAGGTGCTGACTGATGTGGCTGAGTGCCGACAGTACTGTGCAGAGGGGCTGTCTGAGGCGGAGGCTTGTGGGGATGTGGAGATGCAGGCAGAGTTCCTGGCCCAGGGGGCACAACTCAACATCATCGAGGGGAAGAATCTAGAACACACTGTGTTGCTGATGGAGGTACTGAGTTAAACTGACTATAAACCACCCAACCTTTTGATGATTAACCATGAAAATATTGGAATATAGATTCAAGTACATGTATCACACAACCCATTCAGTTTATTGCAATCACTCTGTGAACAAGTAGAACTGTTTAAATTATTCCTGAGTGCTTTCCAAATTCCAACTCATCTGCACATAACTTTTTCTTGTAGGATGCCATCAAGCTGCTGAGTGGAATGTCATGTTTGTCGAACCACGGTGAGCGTCTACTGGTGCTGTGCCTGTTGATGAAGACAGACTTGGAGGCAGCCTGCAGGAAGGATGTGGACTCTGATGCTGTCACACAGAAAACACTCAACAGCTACCTGGATGTGCACAGACTTGTCCTGTCTCAGGTGAGTAACTTAATCTACATTCCCAAACATATTTTCCACTAGTGTCAAGGTCATATTGTGAGTTGGTTCCCCTCTCAAACTCAGACTGTTTCAGAGAAATGTTTATTGATTGTAATGCCTGTTAATTGAACAGTTTGGGTACAACACTTTCAGCAGATTTGTTCAAGCCTTACTGGTAAGGAGGTTGCCATGTGACAGTGTGTAAGGACTGTTGTTGTTTGATATGTGGAACTATGATGACAATTTGTTGAATAAGGTTTCTACACTTCTGCATGTTGATCATGTTGTGCCTACAGATGGAGCAGCTTGGGGAGAGGATTGAGCACTACCATCCCATGGGTCAGCAGGAGCACCTGGCAACCCCCGTCAGTCCCATGGACAACATCTACCTCCCAAACTGTCTCCGCCTCTCACAGGTCAAACTCAGAATTGGACATGCAATGGCCAGGAATACTGCCAAGCAGATACGGAATGGGTATGCAGTGATATTCTATCAGTTTTCTAGTTTTTAGTTAAGTTGTAACTGTGTTAGCAATAATGATTGCAAATGGGATGATTTTTATACAGACCACCAAGGTTCATTTTGTGAATAAGGTCATACAGACCATCCCTCCAGAAGTCTATGATGTTATAATTACTGATAATGCTTGCTATAATGTGAGGTGATACTATGTCAAATTAAGATACCAACATTTCATCCGCTAAAAAGAACTTAATTCTTTAGTCATATTCTTTTGTTCTGTTAGGCAAAGAATTTGAAATAGAAAATGTTATGTTTCTGTGGAGGTTGGAAGTGGTAGATTGTAAACATGTTCAATGGGTTTGTCTTTCAGTGTTGTGGATGTGGAGTACCATCACCTCTGGGCAGAGGCTCTCGGTGTACTGTCAACAGCTCTGGAGATCTCACAAGTCAGTGTCACACGCGAGGCAAATCTGGAGGCAGAAATTCTCTTTAATATGGGTGAGAAATTATTCATATCTATAGATGACAGCAATATATGTGCAAGATCTCAATTTATCAAAATTTAACCAGGATGTGTCAAATTCCCAGTTGGTTTAAAGTCTGAACTCAGTTTATAGTCCCATGAGTTGAAGGTCAGTTAAACCTTACCATGATAAGTTGAACTCAACTTAGCACAAATTAAAATTGTTATCAAGTATAATGGCCTCAAGCATGACATTGCATGAAATGTCAAAGACAGGACACAAACAAAAACAGGTGGAAACATGGCTGAGCAATCAAGTAAAGGACTTAGCATATACGGTGGTATGGATCAGGGCCCCCTTCAACAAAGCTATTCCAGCGCTAAGTCCATCGTAACTCCCATACTTTAACATAGACTTATAACAATTGTAGCGTTAAGAACGCTTTGTGCAATGGAGCCCAGATGCTTCTACTCCATAGCTGAAAATAAGATTGTGTCAGATATGTTGAGACCTGAATAAGTTGAACCACTCCTCTGGTCGCCAGGAGTTCAAGACAATAGGTTTCGACTGTAATTTGTTTTAGTCTGTGATTTGATCATGATTAAATAGACATCTTGAGAAAATGAAATATTTGGTTTTGGTTTTGGTTATTCTCACAAATGAATTTGGACATAAGGACATTATGTGGTAATTTACTAACATTGGCAATATGATGATAGAGGATGAATAAGGCTTTTTTCTGCAGGCAAAGTACAGAAGATGCTTGCTCAGCTGGGCAAGTTCCAGCCCCGAGCTGCTGCCAACACTCTGATTGAGGCCATTAAAACATCGTTTGCAACAGATCATGATCTTGGGTAGGTTCACACGTTGCAAGTGTTTGATATTTTGAAGTGTGTGTGTGTGTGTGTGTGTGTGTGTTGAGGAGAGGGGAATAACAACAATGTTTTTATATTCCTTTTGGATCCTGTTCAGAGTAAAGAATTGTACAGGAGAACTATTATGTCAAATGGTCGGTCAATAAAGTCCTTCAACTGCATAAAGAGTAAGAAGGACTGCTGGAACCAGTAGTACATGCACTACATCTATCTCCTGTGTGTTTCAGTTTGATCCGACAGAGCTACCTGGAAATTGCCCTCATCTACATGTGCAGCAGTGGGGTGGTGGTGGCCAGGGAGGGGTCGTTCCTGGAGCTTGCTGTGGGGGACAGTGGCGATGAAGGCAAGCCAAGCTCATCCCACTCTCAGGTTCAGAAGAAGAAGTTGAAGGTATGCATGTCTGCCTGACAGGGAAACAGCAAACATAAAACTACGAATTAGGATTTAGTATTGGTATATTCTAACAATGAATGTTGAGGCTTGGAGTTGTAGATTCTTAAAATTCAATATTGGCTATGTTTGCTGTATGTAGGACAAATTATTTTTAACTTATCCTGCATTACTCCTTTATGCAATTGCTGCTTACTTTTGACAGAAACAAAGCTGTGTGAGGTCTAGGCTGAAGAAAAATGTTCCAACCAGTTATGAAGCCGATCCTCTCACAGCTGCCACGTGACCAACTGTAAGAGATGATGTTACAGAATCTTCATATTACTGCTTGTAACTGGACACACATGTTGTGTTTATAATTTTATAATCAGGCACTCTCTAAAGCCCTTTTTGCCTCTTCATCTCCGGCCATGAGGAATTACATCAGGGCGTCCCTCACTGAAACCACCGCTACATGCAGGTTGGGCTACATGGCTCTGTCCTACTTGGATTAAGAGTTCAAATGCCAGGTCCTTCATCATCCGTGGTCGGCTACGTCATAATTTATGATTAGGTTACCGACATCTATGCCAAGGTCTCAAGTCTCAGACGAGACAATGCTTAAGGCGTTGGAGAAACTGCTCAGGACCAGTATCAACGCTTACGATTCCCTGATCTGTCTCAACCTGCAGGATGCTTACCTGCATGTACCTGTCCATCCCAACAACCGGAGGTTCCGCAGGTTTCTGTTCATTGGGGTCCACTACCAATGGACGGTTCTGCCTTTTGGCATTTCAGTGGCCCCATGGTTATTTACATGACTCACCACGCCAGTAGCTGCCTTCCTACACCCGAGGGACATTCAGTTCGAGTCATACATAGACGACTGTATCCTGAACTATCCGGACACAGCCATCCTATTTCTTCATCAGGACTGTACCAGGCACCTGCTGTATCAACTTGGATGAAGTCAGAAATGATTCCATCTATCAACTCCCAATCACATTCGCCCAGGATTTGACAATCAGAGGTCAAATGCACCTACGCAAAATCCAACAGTTCCTGATGCCATACATCCGATGTCAGGAACCTTGCATAGACATTTCATACGGCCTCATCTCAGGACTCACCTCTGTTGGTGGACGGAAGAGTCGAACATCTTATGAGGTGTCTCCTTGACAGAGTTGGCTCCTACGTTACATCTGTTCATTGATGCTTCTCTCTACAAGGATGAGATGTGCATCTACAGGACCAGACGGCTTAGGGGTGCCTCAGGGGATGACACATTCTCATTCCCTCCTTCAACAGACGTTTTGGTTCTTTCATCTGGTGGATCGTCTGGGCCTCTGGTTGTAGCTCAACAGGTTTCCAATCCTCAACACCATTCAAAGCTCCTCCAGTCCAGAGCCAGCCTTAAGGGACTTGTGCAGTGAGTACACGCCAGACAGGAGGTTAATCTTGCTACCAGCTCTTTGCTCAGTGATTCTCTAGACTTTGGCGCAAGCCAATTTCTTTTGCTGTTTTCTTCCTTGACGTCATATAGTCTGAAGGTATGCCTGCCGCCGTACAGTTTGATACAGATGCATTAAGGAGTAATGCAGGATGTTTTTTACATTTGTATGCTTGATTACTATATCTAAGGGCCTACCGGTCGCAACCTGCCTTCCCGCAATGTAATTATGTGTGATAAGCAGTAATATGAAGATTCCTTGACATCATCACTTCTGGTTGATCACATGGCAGCTGTGAGAGGGTCGACTTTACTACTGGATGGAACAACTTTTTTTCTTCAGCCTAGACCTCACACAGCTCTGTTTCTGTCAAAAGGAAGCAGTAAATGCATTAAGGAGTAATGCAGGATAAGTATAAACAATGTTTAGATTTTACTAATAGTGAGGAATAGCATATAAACTCGCTCACTCACAGTAGATGCACTTCATTGAAGACAACAATGATGAAGGAAAGGTTTGTGTCTGGCAGAGGAAGTAGATTTTTATGTCTTTATAACATTGTGTACTTTAAATGTTTTCAGGGTAATGCACACACTTTGTTTCGCCATTTTGGGTGTCTTGAAATAACCAACTGATTAAATGACTGCCTGAGTGAGGGAAGTCAAAGCAAAGAAAAACACTTAACTATCAAATTACAGCTCAAATTGTGAACATTTTTTGATTATGGAAACAAACAGACACACATGAAAACAAAACACTTCTTTTGTGAATGACATGCAGTTGATTTTGTTTGTGCCAAGAATTATTTTTTTTCTGTTGTTGCACAGAAAATGACCATGTCAGCCGGCATTTTTAGAGTCTATCCACTTGTAAAAACCATGACTATTCCCTTTGATGTCCAGAGCAAGAAGGAACGAAGCAAATCCCGAAGCAAGGAGGATGATCCTAGTATACCAGAACATGAGAGAGAGAAGCGAGCAGCATGGCTCGCCATCCGATGTGCAGCTGCAACTGCTGCAGCACAGCGAGCCAGGATGCTGTTGATAGGAGACAACAGCGTCACCTCCCAAAAACTGGGAGACAAGGAAGTGAAGAATGTGCCAGAGTTTGCTGCCCTTGATCTCATCAGCTGCTATGTTCTGGGAGAGAAAAAGAAAATCTTCAAGAGTGAGTTGCTTTCTTTTCAAATAGTGTTTTCAGTGAGCATTTGGAGTCTCCTTTCCATGAAATTGTCCATTTTTTTATTGAAAATTATTACTATATCTTTTTTGTGTCAGGTGAGATAGAGGAAGAGCTATCTTCCCTTATGGATGCCCAGGAGGTGAAGCAGGTGGACACGTATGATGACCAGGTGAACAAAGCCAGAACTGGCGCTAAGGACCTCAGCTGGATACACTTCCTAGGTAGGATGATGAGGCCTTCATTTTGATATTATTGCAATAAAAAATGCAATAATGGTGATTTGCGGTTGGGCAAACAGCTCCCAGGGAGTTAACTGTCTTTTAAAGTTCAGTTTCAACCTTGCTGAACTAGGCTGGAATTATGGATTTATATTTGGGCTGGACTAAAGAGGCTATTCTTAGTCCAATCAAAATCCTGTAATGAAATCAACATCTGGTTCATGAACATGGCAGCTGCCGTGCCAAATTTGTTTAATTGCAGGATTTGCAGAGCATGTGTACCCTCAAATGGGCGTCGAAAACATATTCTAAATCTTATTATGTTGCCCAAATGATTTCATGCGCTTTGCGAGGTAAAACCTGTTTTATTACAGTGGAAACTGGACCTCTGTAGTCAGCTAACTCCCTTGCCTCAGGAAGATGTTATGCAAATTACCATTCCTAGAAATCTTGATTCAAGTCAGACACCACTTCCTTAGTCCTAACTCAAATTTGATGGTGTATATAATGTGTATCTGTTAGTAATTACACAAATTACACAGAAACTCAGTGTTACATTGGGCACTAGCTACAACATCTACACTTTGAATTAACACAGACCACACACTGGAGCATTGTCTCATTTTAAAAATTAGTGGTAGGATCTTATGTCAGATGTTCAACCACAGTAATTTTGCCAATATTTTAATGTTCAAACTCAGTTTTGAATTATTTCTCCAGGCTATCAGACTGTCCTTCAACGTCTGTGTAGTACCGCTACAATCTGTGCCACAAGCTCACAGACCGACACAGTCAATGTGAATGGAGGTGACCTTGGACCAGACTTTGACCTTGGGTTTATCAGCCATGCTCAATTTGACACAACAATGAACCACGATGTTGTCCGCTCCATGTTGTTTTCTGGTCCGTGGTCCTGCCGTCTACGTCACATGCATGGCTACCTGACATCCTACCTCCCAGTGTATGCCAGCGACTGCTGTGCCATCTACCCTCCTTCTTCTCTACTGCTCCCAGTCCCCTCTACCAGCACTGATCTCAACATCACCATGAAGACGTACACTTCCAACCTCAGTCTGGGCAGCAGTGTTGAAATGGAGAATATTTACAACAGCAGCCTTTATCTTGATCCACGACCTCTGCCCCCAGGAACACAAGCAAATCCTCACAAACCTGTGGATGAAGCCATTGTGAATCATGGAGACAATGAACTGGTTCTGCAGTGGCATCAACCTACCCTTGATGAAAGTGATCCAGCACATACAGAGATGGGTTCACTGGACAGGAGGATTATATTACTGTATGCCCTCTCCAGGAAGGGCAGTTCAGGGAGTCCAGGCGTGGCACCAGGGTTCCTGTGGGTGTCACAACCTCAGCTCATTGATCTTCATGACAGGTACATCTCATTCCATGTTGACAGAATTTTGATTCTGACTATATTAAAACTATGCAAGCTGGACAATCTGTGTTCCATTGGTTATTTTCATTTTGTTGGGAAACGTAGATGGTGTGTGGTGGTTATACACAGATTACTTTTAGGGTAAACCATGATTTGGGGGCCAACACCTTAGGTACCAAATATGACTAGATGGTAATGTGAGTGTACAAATTCTAGCACCTATCAGACAACCTGTATTGAGAGTGCAGTTTGAAAGCACATTGATCTGTGATAATGATGTTGTGCTGTGGGATCTTGGTGGTGTGGAGTCTTGTGATTTATGGGTGAACTGTTGTTTTAAAAATTATTTGGTGCTTCTTACAAACACAACCATGACCAGGTTTGCTCTGTGACTCCTGTAGGTTGGCTGTGCTGGCCCAGAGAGGGGAGATTTCCCTGACAGAGAAGGATAAGACCAAGAAGGATAAGGATGTGACCCCAGCCACCCCAACACCAGCCAAACCCAAGAAAACACAGAGGATCAAGGCTCTTTCCCCAAAACCACAGAGAGATGAGCAGCTGGAGGTAAGTTTGGGGAACTAATATTGTATTATTGTAGTAATGTACCGACAGGTTGAATATTGGCAGCATTACTACATCATGAGATGGCTGGCTAGCGGTAGAGGGTTAACCTGTATTAACTGAATCCTTTTAGGTTTTGCATGTATACTGCTACCAGTCATATTTTTTACGATTCTAAGTATGAGCCTGCAAATTTCTAGTTTAGTAAACTTACAGGCAGAAATACGCGCCTGCCCATAGGCCCAAATCAGGTAGATCGTGTAAGGCCATAGTTTCAAATTTGTATGGGTCCTGTATGCAGTAAATTTGAGTCTCAAAGTTTTCCATCATGGAGTGCAGGGGGAGCAGGATAAGTTTGATTTAAGTGTAGTATTACAGTGGTGGGGAGAAAATCATGGAAGGAAAATTATCAGTGAACATTCATCCTTTTCACTGTATGTTATACAAATCTTTTAAAACCAAATTTATATATTTTTTAACTTTTACCTCCACAACCACAACAGTATGCAATATTCCTTCTTGCTTCAGTCATATAACAGTGTAGAACATTGTTAAAACAATAATCACCGGAACACACCCTCCGACCACCTCGCTCCCAGCATGCTCCTGTACGACTCATCACACTTTCCTTCATCGCCCCGAGTGAACGGACGTATTTGCTTCTACTCCACAGTCATGAGTGGATATGTTCATCATTTGGATTTTGAGATATTATTGGCAATGTGGTAATTTCGTAGCTGGTGTCGGGAATTGACGCAACTTTCTACACCCTCTTTCGAAAAGTGTGTGGACTGCTGTGGGAAGATAATGGCTCATGATCCCCCAAGTTTCTGCCCTGACTGCCGGCCCCCTGCTCCTTGGACCAGCGATGCTCTGATTGTGCCCACTTATCCTCCAACCATTTCAACATTTACCTAGCTTAACTATGCAAAAGGGCTCACCAGTAACTACAGCGCCATACGCCACATTTACATGCGCAGCTACAGGGCTATCAGCCTTGGATGTTGGCTTTATCACCCTGCTTATCCACAGCCATTCCAAGTGCCCTCTGCCTGGCCTACCCTGTTTTACCCGCAGGAAGTACAAGTTCTTCTGCCACCTTTGCCTAAGGCATGGCCTTTGCCACCTCAGGCACCGCCTATTTCCTCGCCTATTTCCTCGCCTATTTCCTGACTTGTTGTCCTCGCCTCATGACAGATCGCCTTTGGTGACCTCTCCTAAGGATGCTCATACTGACAAGCATGTCAGTTCGGTACTACAGTTACCACTCTCGTCTCCTCAGGGTAATCCCCTGTGTCACAGGTTGATTGTGCCTCAGGATCTCCTGCTCAGCATTCATGATCCTGTTCATCGTCTCCTGACAGAAAGTATGTGCGATCTTCGCCGAGGGCCTCCTCTTGCACTTCGCCTTTAAGGATCAGATCCTGTGGATCATGGATGTCCTTAAATTTGAGGAGCCTGTCCAACACTCTTCTGCGAAATGCCCCTTTGATCCCAAGATTTACCTTTTACACAGTCCCCATTCATAATCTGGTTGTTGGTATTCCTGCTCTGTTGCAGCAGGCTTTGGATAAGGTAGCCCTTGAGGGTTCGCTCCCCAAACCTGTCATCATGTTGTCGTGATTTAAATTACATGGGGCTTCGTTTCCACTTGATGCAGACAATGCTAAGACATTGGGATGTTCCACGTCCTTGCACCTCAAGATAGATGGCCCTCCTACCCTTGTCCCTTATTACCACCTTCATCCAGGCTTTGGAGAAATGGATTGGCCCACTGAAAACAGATTTTTTGAGAGAATTGCTCCTCCTTATGAGTCGCCAAGTCTATATTGAGGACTTAGGATCGCGCCCATCTCTCTATTATGCCAACCTTGATCATCCGAGAAACTATTCAGCAATAACCTCTCTCCGCTGTTCAGGCCTTACAGATGTGTATTACCCACCCGTGTACCCAGTACACACAGAGGACGCCCTTTCAACCTAAGGCTAAACACTACCGTCGTGCTCAACCCAAACCTTCGTCACAGGGCGGCGTCTTCCCAGATTTCTAAGGCCTGGTCAACAAGAGGTCTACTCCATTCATAGCTGGTTTCTTAGGCTACTCAGGGATGAAACATTTGTCGGGTGGTACCATTGCTAGTTAGGTCTTGGCTATTTACTCGGCCCTTGGCACCTCCTGTTCTACCCACATCGCCACTGCGATCGGCGATCCAAGTTTTGTCCTATGGCCTGGAATATGGGACTGGTTCTACACCACCTCCTTGTTTCTCCCTACGAATTTCTCTCAGATGCACTTTCACTATCGCCCCGCTGATTAACATAGTTGGGTCTGGTGACACAGAGGACATCTCCCTATGTCATGTTCGTGCATTGCATCGTTATATTGATGTCACTCTTTGTTTTCGGCATCAACTTAAATGCCTCTTCTTCCCAACCATCAAGGAGGGTCACAGGAATATCTCCAAGAATACCCTCATCATTTTGGTTATGTTCAGGCTTACGCCCATGCTGATCTGGTTCCGCCTAGAGCTTCCTCTGTTGGAACAGAGCGCCTGCCATCCAGGATGCCTATACCGGTATGCCTGCATGTTTGTTCTTTCTTTCTATGGAATGATTGCATTAACTCCATACTAAGGGTACTACGTATCGTGAGGGCAACTACGGTTCCCAATCTTTCAAGAACCGCCAGTTGCAATGTAATTTCAGACCCAGCCTCGCCTGTAACCAGGCATGGTGGTGATGTATTACAGGACTAGGGTAGTTGAACACGTCCATGGATTGAAGCAAAGTGGCTGTCTCGTCTAGTCCGTGCTCTGGCCTGACCACTCAATTGCAAATGAGGATATGCATTTGACCCATCCCGCCATCCTACCGTGGGATTATTGCATAATTTTGTTGAGGGATAAGTAAAAAAATATAGGGAATCAGAGTATTCCCCTTATTTATGTACTAACACAACAGGACATGCCTCTCCGTCCGTCCATCCCCTCAACGTTTGGATCTACTTGTCATCGGTCTACAAACGATTGTGGGAAATAGTGCTTTGTACAGGTGCATGCTGGGAGCGAGGTGGTTGGAGGGTGTGTTCCAGTTGCTATTGTTTTAACAATGTTCTACACTGTTATATGATCAAAGCAAGAAGGAATATTGCATACTGTTGTGTCAGGATAAGTATATAAATATGGGGAGTACTCTGATTCCATATAATTTCACCTGATACATGTTTGTGTATGACCAGGGCCTCCTGAGACAGTGCTTGGATGACTGTACTCTCCTGCTGGCATCTCCACCTGAACAGGACGCTGTCACCGAGGTGAGACACATACAATCGGGTTAAATACTCTTTTAGTAATGCAGGATAAGTATACAAATATAAAAAAATATCTTTGATTTTACTAGAATTCATTAAGGCCAGTACCTATTTGAACATTCAATACTGTAATGCTCATGTACAATGTTGTTGTTACTTGCAGATTCCTTTTGATGTTAACCGATCAAACATCAAGAACTTGGAGCAACTGTTTGACCAGAGCTTTGGGCTGATGCTACGAGGCACTGACGTTGCCACATGGATCATGAAGATGTTATCCTGAACACTTGTTATTCAAACATGTTTTTATATGAAGTGAAAAGTGTTCATCATGGTTGTATTTATAATGAGTTTCTGTCAGGCAAAATCCAGTTACCGGTACTTCTTAGGTGTACCGGTAAGTGTTACAGTTGTGAATATTCAAATGCTATGTTATTTATAGTATTACTGTTTGTGATGTTTAAAGTTATGCTTACATTTACCAAAGTTTGAATTATAATTTTGTAAAAACATATACCATATATGATTTCTGTTCAGAGTTGCATCGATTCGTCGGGCCAGGATCTGATGTTTCTGGTATCAAATCCCAGATTCTCCTGTTATGATTCTTAGTTTGTCAGAACCATACCTATGCTTGTAAATGTCTGTAACCTGTATCACTTTGGCCTTTCCTCTTAAAGCTTTAAGCTGACACCCCTTGATACAACTGAAATACTGCTCAAAGTAGACTTAAAGGAGATCTAGGATTGGCCAACTGTCAGTCCTAGCAAATGTCTTTCTTGGTCACCTGATTCAAGTTTTATGATATTCAGTCAATGATAACTCTAAATTCACTGAGAAAGTTTCCCATGGTAAGGACAATGTGGAGACCGAGGCAGAAACTGGACACCGGTCTGTGGAGTATAGTCTCCCTTTAAACCTCAGTCTGTGAGTTGAAATATCATCTTTGTTTTGATGAATGGACTATTGTACTTGAAGAAATAAAGTCTTAATTGTTTTTCAATATTGGGAATGTTAGTTCTTATTTTAATCACTTGGCATGTGGATTTCATTTCAGGTTTGGTGATTTGAAATAAAAATGAAAACAAAATCTTAGAAGCATGTTTTTAAAAGTACCTTCATAACCTCATAAATCAAGTAACAGAAAAAAAGTGGTTCTAGAATTAGTTCTCAAATAGACTTCTCAAAACAGACACTGAAATATCGTTTTTGCAGATCTGTAACCATGTAATTAAAAAAAATCACCCTGACCACTGCAGATCTTTTTCCAAAGGTGGTTAAAGGGGCACTGATCTAAAGCAATTCCCCGGAACTGGTTGTTGCCTTTGTTATTGTTTTTTCCTGTGAGTACCCGGATGTTATAGCAGAAATCTAGACTAGTTCGCGACTTGTGCTGCGCAATTCGTAAGTGCATTTGTCACTTTTATTGATAGTATAAGGGCGTATGGTCACATTGATCAACAAAATGAAATACAGTTTTGGAAATGATAAGGAAATGTAGGTGTCTTTGTGGGTAGCATCGGTAATGGTGACGAAGTTTTGATAAGTCACTTGCTTGGTAATTGTGCGATTTTCGTTTACACTTTTTTGACTTGCAACACAAAGTAAATATTTCTCCTGAGCATTGCTTATTTTATCGTGTTTATATTTTTACAGTCAAAATTTATTAAACTTTTGAATTTTCAGTTATTTTACAAATTGACTGAAAAATATGTCCATCTGTAACGAATTCCAAACATTTCTATGTTTAACATCATCACCAAGAGACTGAAAATGTTACTATGAAAAGTACATTTCTATATTGTTTGGCTTCTAATCCTACATAATAATCTATTGTGATGTTTTTAGGCCCTTTTGATCGACTTAATCAATTTTAGTCAATCTGTTACAGAAATGGACAGATTTTCAGTCAAAATGACTGAAATATTTACACATTTTATAAATTGCCTGAGAGAATCACATTTTACAAATCGACGGTAATCTATACACGCTTACAAAGGAAAAGACTTGTGAAAACAACGTCTATTGCGCATCCCAGAATTTCCCAACCAAGACGTTGAGGAACAAGAATGAATCTGTCCAATGCTACAGCAAATGAAGGAAAACAAATATCATAATTAAAACCTTCCAAATTATGTGTATAATTTTAGGCAGCTTCCTTGTTTGAGGAATGTTTCCATGAATATCCACCCAAAGGAACAATATCCCACACGTCTGCAGCTGTACAAAGAAACTTATTCGATGTCACGTGTCTCTGTAACAATCAGATATTTTAAAAGATATGTATATCGTTTCGGGATATTATAACCCATGTTCGTTTCTCAACTGATCACTTAAATTGTTTCAGGTGTTTTACAAAGGTGTCAAGTCTCAAAGGTCGGCTGAGAAAGCCCACGTGACAACTATTTTCATAAAGTCCACGGTTCCTAAAAGAATCCATTGAGTTCGATAACAATGAGCAATCAATCAACGTATTATCGGTTAACCCTTTAAACAAAGTATGTTGTTTTTACATCGGCACTTCACGCCATGATATGAGTGTATTCCCTTTGTTTTAGTAAACCTAGACATGTAAACACTCATTTTTGACATATCCACTGCGCAAGATAACAGTGATTAATCAATCAATGTATTTTCTGTTAATCCTTTGATGACTAGGAACGATCCGTTGATTTACTAAAAAGTAAATCAACTGATCATTCATCTCTTGCTGGGCTGCCACGCGCATGTTACATAACACACATTTCACCTCACTTCAAACCTGGATTTAGATTGAATAATTACCCCAGACACAATAAATGCCAAAAGGGAACCTTTGTGCTACCACTAATTATACCTGTAATAAATTCATTAACTGAGCATCAAGTGAATGACGACAAATACACAAGTGTAGGGTTGGTTATGGGCCGGGAAGGCGAAAATCAATCCCTCAGAGTTAGAAATTACATTCGCCTTCCCGGTCTTCACAAAAATCCTTATTATGGCAGATGATTGCCTTCCCGGTACTTGTTAATTACAAAGAAAACACCAATGAAATGAGGACACTATTTAATCTGGGCAACAAAGTCAATATATAACAAGTACAGTATAACATATCATACATGTATTTGAAGATGTATATAGACATACATTTTATCATTTATGTAATAATTCAGTTCATTCCCAGTGCAGTAGATCTGCCACATCGTCAGTGTAGTCCATTGTTGTCGTCAATTGGTTCAACAGATCTTTTTTCAAGGCACGGAGTCTAGAGTCAATCACTCGGTATTTTCTCTTCCGAGCAGGTGCTCTTGGGTGAGCGCCTAGCTGCTTAACCCTCACTTCTGTTAGAGACTGTTCACATTTCAGAAGATTCACTACCTCGAAGATGTTAGGGTGAGTCTTCTGGGCGCTCTTGTTCAGGTGATGATGCCATCCTTCAAGGTTGTTGTTTGTTCTGCGTCCCTGGTTTCCGATGTGATTCCACAGGTCCTTGCTCCAAGATCCTTCTACCCATGTAGTGGTAACATAGTCCATGAAGCGCGTCACCTTGACGCCTTGAGGACTGTCTGCAATTGCATCAGCCCACACGTCTTCAACCATGTCTAGTGGCACCAAGGGAAGGGCAGAAGCTCGTCTTACAACCTTCTTCACTTCATCGTTTCTTTACTAGATTAATCTGAGTTCAATGGAAGTTAGTAATCACATTCTCTGTGTTCAATTTTAACAATTTTAGTAGATTATCTCTTTCTTTATTTTTCCGTCTCACGAGTTCAATGGAAGTTGGTAATCACATTCTCTGAGTTCAATTTTTTTTTATCTCTTTCTTCACTTTTCCGTCTCACAACACCCCAGTGTCCTCAATGTATAAGTGTCCGTTGTATACATAACGAGGGTACACATCACTGATCTTTTCATTCGCCTTCCCGGTCCCCAATCCCTTACCCCTCCATTCGCCTTTCCGGTACTACTGGTAAATAGATTTTCGACTTCCCGGGCCGACACCGTAGGGTTATACCAGAAAACGTGGATGACAACAAGAGAGTAGTAATCGTATTATCGACGCAATCTGAAAATGCTTTCACTGCATGGATACTTTTTCTTGTTATTAAACTATAACAATCAGGGGTATTTCCAAATGACGACATCCGATGAGCTCCGCCGTTCTTGTTCCTCATTGTGTTCATTCATCAACACATGACCTATATAAATATTTATTAATAATGGTTATGGGACAGATATCTTTTTTTCTTTTCCATTCCTTTTGAAATGATTAAAAAGACAAAAATATGTCAGGAATACTTAGCAATTTTTGTTTGCCCGACAACTTTTATCACTAATCAACTTAAGAAATAACATTCACTGTGACATATTTTGTGGAACAAAATGTAAAATATATCATAAGATGTAATAATGTCAGTTTCTTGTCGTAATGCACATCTCTCCTTCAAATATGCCTGTGACTTTAACCACGAGTCCAACATCTGAGTTATGAAGAATGTGTTTTGGCTTAGTCAGCTTAATATATGACAGCCCATACTACTTTTGAAAAATATGCAGATGGACATCCTCGAGCTTGCAGACTTCTTGTTTCGTTGAGACTGCACATAATATATAACTAGTCTTGTCACTTAATACACTATGTAGCTGTCCAAATTTGTACTTTTTTACCACCCCCTCCATATTAGACTCCAGCCAAATAACCCATATCTTGTCTGCTGCCTGCAGTCAAAATAACCCATGTCTGGGCATAGAATTTTGTCCCTTTTGAATATGATTATGGAACATTTGATGTTTGGAACAAGGAAATCTATTGAAAGTATGAAAACCTTGACTGAATGCAACAGGAAAATCAAAAACACTGGCTGCTTGAAATTGAATATACGAAGAGAGTATGAGTGATAAAGTGGCAAACTAAAATATATGTGCTCTTAATGGAGAAACTAAACATGAAAATTTCAAAGGCTCATTAAGTAATAAGGGATAAAAAAATTATCACCCTGTGATTTCCATGTCATACATGGTATTATAGCTAAAATGGATAGAACTATCATAAAAATGCTTGCACTTTATCAGAAATCTGTGAGCCACTGTAACATGATAGCATCCGGCAGTTCCCTCACAACAGGCTGCTATCTATTTTGTTGTTATGTCATCATATATTACATTCTATGACATTTATATTTGTAAATCAATTACCTCTGTTTTTACACAGCCATAGACTAAAATCTAGTCTCTGAAATGAACATATCATACATTAAAAAAAACAGTTGTTCAGTTATCTTAATAAAAATATAATAAAAAGGAGCCCAGTGACTCTCTTCATTTTCAGATACTGCAGTGATCTAGACTTGCCAAACATGATAGACTTGCATGGGCTGTATTTGATATATATTTGTATCAGGGTCTGTAAGACAGACTAACACAGCCACTAAACTTATGCTTCTGTTTGGTTCATTTTGGGACCAGCTACAAATTCTATACATTTCAGCTATAATAACAGTAACGTTATTTTTCAGGGCATTATCATTTGCACAAGCCCTTGGTCTGTTCATCAGGCAGTTAATAGCAGACCTTGGTCTTCTGCAAATGATAATGCAAGGAAAAATAACGTCACCCTTATATCATCCCTCTACCCATATCAGTTGGTTGGTTTGTTTAACGCTGCACTCAGCAATATTCCAGCTGTATGACGTCAGTCTGTAAATAATCGAGTCTGGACCAGACAATCCAGTGATTGACATCATGAACATCGATCCAAGCAATTGGAATCGATGGCATGCATCAAACCAAGTCAGCAAACCTGATCACCCGATCCCGTTAGTCGCCTTTTATGACAAACATAGTTGCCTTTTACTGCAAGCATGAGTTGCTGAAGACCTATTCTACCCTGGATCTTCACGGGTCTATAATAAGGAAACTACTGTAAATAACACCCCAATTTAGCACACCCCGGACCCTTCGACCATTTCCCATCAAGCACCTCGACTGACCCGATTATTAAAGTTGGAAGACAAACAATCACTGTCACTGTAAACATGAAAAGTGATCATAGATAGAGGAAGAATGAAAACATACTTGTTAATGATTTTATTTGTTTACTGAGTTGTGATAACAATGTAAATAACAAAATATATAAACTGCAATAAAGTTATACATGAATAATCACAGTTTTGTGAACTGGTTTTTGGTGTGCGGCTGACCTGAATACATTTTCACAGGTATCAGTTGCAGCTGAACACATCAATGCCCTTCCCTGTAAACACTTTATCTACTAAATACGTCTTGAACAAGGGTATAAATACCAACTGTCAACATATCAATAAGAACATCAGTCACAATCATGTTGCTATTTGTCAAATGCTATTTGGACATACTGTCTTCATTAAAACTTCCTGTGTTTTACAGTTACAGTAGAAGTAAGGCATATTGCAAACTTGTTTGGCATCACCATGGTGACATCCATCATGTCCAACACAATAGGTGCTGACTGTTGCCATCATGTTGAACACAGAACCTGGAACTTCTTTTCCACAGACTACTGCCAACGCGATCTGTAGTATAATACTGCATTCTAATAAATATGCTGTCATATTGATAGGTATACATATGACAATCTTGTATTGATGGAGGATGAAGTGAAAGCCCTTTGAGACGCAGCAGTTGAAAACAGTCTGTTGTTTGTCCATCAGCAGGAATTCATCGAAAACACTCGGTTTCAAATATAACACTGACATCTTCCCCAACACTGGGTAAGTCACCCCACAGAAGTAGCTCCTCACCTACAAAGAAATGAATGACATTGTTAACACTGATTACAACTGGAATCAACAGTCAGATCAAGTCCGACTCTATCATCTATCAGCCACTGATGTCATTCATTCAGGAAGTGTGGAGATACAAGAGGAACAACTGAGGTTGGAGCAGCAAGAGCAAGCAATGTGTGATGAGATCAATTGTTTTCATCCTGTTATGAGCTGAAAGCAAGCTGTCAAGGAGGGAGATGTTTTAACTATTTTTGAAAGTTAATAAAGTCCTCATTTGGAAATTTGCAAAATGTTTTGTGTGAGGATTTGAACAATGAACAATGATTCATGTCAATAAAGAAGTGTTGGAAATAGAAAATGTTTTATGTACTAGTGAAGGTGGTAAATAAACACTTTATTGGAGAGAAATTGAAAGGAATTTCATCAAAGTGATTTTTCTCTAAATCTACTATGATGTACTTTGTTTGTTTGTTTGTTGTTTAATGCCGCACTCAGCAATATTCCAGCTATATGACGGCCTGTAAATAATCGAGTCTGGACCAGACAGTCCAGTGATCATGAGCATCAATCCATGCAATTGGGACACAATGACCACTCGATCCCTTTAGTTGCCTCTTACGACAAGCATAGTCGCCTTTTGCTGAAGACCTATTCTACCCCTGGTCTGATGTATGCAAATATCCTTCGGAAATCTGGAGAATCAAAAATATTTTTGATACTTTGCAATATTTCATATATATCACAGCAGCTTGAAAATATCAAGTCTAGGCCAAACAAGCCAGTGATTGACTTAAGCTACTTCCAGGATCTCAGGGTACAATGAACAGCAAAGACTGACCACCAAATCTAATTTAGTTGCCTCTTTCGACAAACAATAGATTGTCAGGGATCTCTTCTCACCCTGATCAGTCATTATTCCTTGATCATTGGTAAGCATCTTCCCGAGGCCAGGGAGTTATCTCACTGTAAAAGTCCAGTTTCTACCCTTGACAAACTAGGCCAAAATTATAGAGTTATATTTTGGGTAGACTAACATAGTCCAAAATCACATAACGAAATAGACATCAGAAACCAGGGCTCAGCAGTAGAAACTAACATTTTTGGTCCACTAGTCCTTATGATGATAATATATAGCAAAACCCTTAAAAATGGCAATTTTCTACTAGTCCTTATGATACCTTAACTATTGGGCAGTTTGGCAAGGACTATAGGACTAGTGCCAATTTCTAACCTTGGGCTCCATATAATTTGTTCCGCATCAGGAGTACATACTTCTTATGACTTTTATACAGGAGTACTGGCAAAACAAAAGAGTACACATAGAGTACTAAACGGAATTTAATAAATGAATCTTGAATTTCATTAAAGATATGCACCACAGCATTGCTACTCTCGTCTAAATAAAAAATACTTTTTTCATTGCCATACATGTTTGTTTATTGCATAATGCGCAAACCCTTCTCAGGTATTCAGTATTAGTTTATGTTTTGCTGGTTGAGGGGTATATTATGAGCAGAATTGTTGTTTTACATCAAGTTCTACTAGTTATTATGCAGAGATTAAGCTTACCATGTGTATTTTCATGTAAACTAATCCAGAAACAGCAATCAGCTGTACACATATTTTCTCCCAATCTACTGGTGATTCGGTTACAAAACTATTTTATAATATAGGGCGGTCGGGTAGCCTAGTGGTTCAAGCATCACCCGTCACGCCGAAGACCCAGGTTCAATTCCTGACATGGGTACAATGTGTAAAGCCCATTTCTAATGGAATATTATTATATTGCTAAAAGCGGCGTAAAACCATACTCACTCACTCCATATAATATAACGTAAAAAAAAGTATTTTGATGTAATGATCAGGAGAATTGTACCTATCTTGAATAATATATTCCAATATCGTGTTATTTTAGTTGCAGCTTTACTATATATATTTAAAAGAAGAATAATCATAAGCAAAGCATTAACTTTGGTACAGCTGATCTCATTGCCAGATATATTTTACAAATAGAACAATCTAACCAGTCACTGTCGAAAACTCGCAAAAACTCTGTTGACACATAACATTTATGATAGATGTATCCATTCTCTGGCAACTAAAGTTTGTTTCAAGGTGTCAAATACGGTAATCTGACAGTAGTTGGTTTTGGTTTTTGGTTTGTTGTTTTACGCCGCACTCAGCAATATTCCAGCTATATGACGGCGGTCTGTAAATAATCGAGTCTGGACCAGACAATCCAGTGATTTACATCATGAACATCAATCCACGCAATTGGGATCGATGACATGCATCAAACCAAGTCAGCGAGCCTGACCACCCGATCCCGTTAGTTGCCTTTTACGACAAGCATAGTCGCCTTTTACGGCAAGCATGGGTTGCTGAAGACCTATTCTACCCCGGAATCTTCACGGGTCGACAGTAGTTGAAGTCAATGACGGTGAGTTATGCAATCTACCGATTACTGCGCTGAAATTAAGGCAAATATTAAATGAAATAAATAAGATAGGTTACAAACAAGTCCATGAACACTTTATAACCAGATAGTGTAATTACATGATTAATTAGCGTACTTCAGTACAGATTTGTTGACATGGTATTTCCGGTGTTACTTGCTCGCGGTAATGTCTTTGCATTGGGGGAAACAAATCAAAACTTTACACAGCTGATTTTTTTGGGTAAAAAAATGTGATATTTTCCAAATCTTTTCATATTTTTTATCAAGGTGCTCATGTGATTTGATGTACTTCGCCAGGTAGAACCGTGTTATTTCAATATAGATCTTGATCATCGACCAGATCGTATTGACTGGGTGCTGCCATTTTGTTTGAAGCAAATACAAGTGACATGAGCAGTTGACCCTGATTGGTCAATAGGAGGGGTATAGAAAGGACATCACTCGTAATAGCCACAGGTGGCTCTATGATTGAGCCCTGAAATTGCAACCTAGTTCAGTAAGGGTGGAAACTGGACTTTTGGATTCAGTTATCTCCCTTGCCCCGAGAAGACGTTGGTAAGTGCCAGTGACTTTGAAAAGAATTTGGTGAAATTGTTGACAATTTTAATAGTAAACACTATTTGGGGGACCCACTTGATAATTATCTCATCAATACCTAACATTGCCTAATAGATTGCATGTTTCTTAATATATGTTTATGCGTTTTGCAATATCAATACATATTTTTTTAGAAAGAGTCAGTGAAAATAAATTTCTAACTATTTTGGTCCTTTGTTTCTCACCTGCTCTATTTACTCTTTGTGAGGCATTGACACATGAGCTGAAGTACATCCAGAAATGGCCATTGTTGCAGGACATCAAACACTTCCTGCACGGGCGGGACACTGTGTATCCAATTTCATTGCCACTGGAGAAAACAGACACGGAAAGTGAGTGCACTGAGATGATATCTTTATGCTCTGTCAATGGAGTCAATCTCATTAAATCAGATCTTATTTTTCGCTACCGCTTACCAAAGATCTGAGGACATCTCATTACGGGTCACGTCAGAACGACCTTTCGCGAACATTGACCGACCAATGAAATGACTGACAAGAAATCGACATTAGCCAATCAGAAGGCAGCTTTCTCGAGCTTTACAGCACTAGTTTCAAACTGACGACTACGCTTTGAAACATATTTTGACGTATTCTCGATTACAAAATTTAAAACTGACCAAAACAGCATTCTAGAGTGGCTTATAGATGGCCTAGATTGTATGGATATAATCATAAAACCTGTAACTGTCATTCGGAATACCCTCTGTTAAATATTTTGAGGTTGGATGATTAGAAAACACATTCCGACTGTCACTTTCAGGATCTGGTAAGCGACGGTCTGATTGGTTGGATGAAAGGTCGTTCTGACGTGACCCGTAATGGTATGTCCTCAGATCTTTGTTTAGCGGTAGCGAGAACTAAGATCTGATTTTAATGAGGTTGTCATTGGAGTCTGTGAGGTCATATACATGATATAAGATAGCTATGCGTTAAATTAAAAAAATCAATAAAGAACGAAGTGTGGTTTACTTCAAGACAAAACATTGTTCTATCATGATCATGATGCTGTCATTTCTGGTAAATCGAATTTGCACTCGCAACTTGATGACATTATTTTTGAGAGTTAAGCGTCTTGTGAGTTGTTCTCCATAGATGTAGGTTGACAACGCAGATGAACGAAATGGCCAAATAATCGCACCCAAAAGTGAGCGAGATATGACAATCGGTATTGGGAGAAAAGGTGCAGATAATCGAAGTGAAAGTTGTCAGGATACCAAACTTAATTCCCCTGGACATAAAATGGAGTTGTCCGACATTGCCGAGGTCAGATATTATTTGGGGAGTCATCATTATTGAAATACGGGTAAATGTTTTTAAAGCTTGTACAATTTATTGATATCCTTAAGACGGCTGAAGATATCTCATATAGGAAATAAATGACTTGTGGTCATTGTTTATCGTACAATAAAACACTGGAGGGAGAATAAACCATGAGAGGCACAGCCCCTCATCAGATGTTCTTTATGCAGTGTTTTATTGTACGATAAACAACACCCACTCATCGCTTATTTCTCTATGAGTAGAAGACATTTTATGAGTAGAAGATGTTTGACATCGATTGCACCACAGTATTAAACTGAAAGGTATAGACACATTGAAAGTGTATCTTCTTGATAAAAGATGTGGTCACTGTTCCTCAATAATTGAAGAATGGAGTAATATTTAAGTAATATGGCATGCTGCAGCAGAAATGTGATTTATGTTAAGAATGTTCCATTTAAGGTGCCAATTACATTGGTAAAACTGGAATGGAATTATTATAACCTGTTCTATGGTTACTATACATAAACAGATAAGTATTCTGAATGTAAGGTGCTTAAAAATGAATGGACACATTGATTTGTGTGGAAATGGAAACATTTTACAAACTACTTACAGAAATCACCAGGAGAAAGAGACTCGGTTCATAAATATATGTCAAACAGTACTAAACTCTGCTTAACAATTAATTATATGATGTATCTAATAGCTGACACTGTAGTTACTTTGTTTTTTCTGTTTAATATGTAAGCACCAAACAACTATGTACACACTTACCACGCAATGCATGCAAGCTGGTTGATTTTACAGGCACAGTGATTGGTCAATATTCCCCCCTCGACAAGATCCACAGCACTGAAAGAAGATAAACACATTTAAATAGTTGATCAGAATTGGTGGAATTCTAAAGGTGGGCCGTTGTATGGTACTAAATTAATAAGTATCCATTTTTGACGTGTTTGAAGTATTTACTTTTTTTTGTAAATCAACGGATCGTTCCTAGTCATCAAAGGATTAACAGAAAATATGTTGATTGATTAATCACTGTTATCTTGCACAGTGGATATGTCAAAAGTGAGTGTTTACATGTCTAGGTTTACTAAAACAAAGGGAATACACTCATATCATGGCATGAAGTGCCGATGTAAAAACAACATACTTTGATCAAAGGGTTAACTGATAATACGTTGATTGATTGCTCATTGTTATCTATCACTCAATGGATTTTTTAGGAACCGTGAACGTTATGAAAATAGTTGTCACGTGGGCTTTCTCAGCTGACCTTTGATACTTGACACCTTTGTGAAACACCTGAAACAATTTCAGTGATCAGTTGAGGAACGAACATGGGTTATAATATCCCGATACAATATATATCTTTTAAAATATCTGATTGTTACAGAGACACGTGACATCGAATAAGTTTCTTTGTACAGCTGCAGACGTGTGGGATATTGTTCCTTTGGGTGGATATTCACAGATACATTCCTCGAACAAGGAAGCTGCCTAAAATTATACACATAAATTTGGTAGGTTGTAATTATGATATTTGCATTTTGTTTTCCTTCATTTGCTGTAGCATTGAACCGATTCGTTCTTGTTCCTCTACGTCTTGGTTGGGAAATTCTGGGATGCGCGATAGACGTTGTTTTCACAAGTCTTTTCCTTTGTAAGCATGTATATATTACCATCAATTTGTAAAATGTGTAAATATTTCAGTCATTTTGACTGAAAAATCTGTCCAGATTGACTAAAATTGATTAAGACGATCAAAAGGGCCTGAAAACATCACAACAGATTATTATGTAGGATTAGAAGCCAAACAACATAGAAATGTACTTTTCAATGTAACATTTTCAGTCTCTTGTTTATGACATTAAACATCAAAATGTTTGGAATTCTTTATCATAATAATACAGATGGAAATGTTTTTCAGTCAATTTGTAAAATAACTGAATATTTAGGCGTTTAATAAATATGAAAATGTTACACATTTTGACAGTAAAAAAATAAGCACACTATAAAAAAGCAATGCTCAGGTGAAATATTTACTTCGTGTTGCAAGTGAAAATAGTGTAAAAAAAAATCGCAAAATTACCAAGCAAGTGACTTATCAAAACTTTGGCACCATAACCGATGCTATTCACAAAGATACCTACATTTCCTTATTATCTCGAAAAACTGTATTTCACTTTGTTGATCAATGTGACCATACGTATGTCAAAAAATACAAAGTTGAAAAAATGACAAAAATTCGCAATTAAGATCAAATATTACGAATAAAGAACTAAATGTTACAACTAAAGGTCAAAATACAAAACAAACAAACGAGGGTTAAACATACAAAGTTGAAATAAATGTCAAAAGTATGCAATATTAATAGTCAAATGTTACGAAAAGACGTCATAAGAAAAGAAAGAACAATGTGTACGAAAGAACTTCAGTGAGCACGAAAGGACATTTTCAATAAAGAACGTCAGTTAGCACGAAAGGAAGTTGACAATAAAGAACGCCAGATGGCGCTGCAATTTGTAAAACATTCCGAGTTTAATCGGCTTGTTCCGCCGTGTATATGATAACTGCATGCCAAGGTGCACAATGTATTATGTCATTCCTCGTGCACTCACCGTCTGACGTCACACATATACATGTGTAATCCAACATCTGCCTAACATTAGTACATGTATTTTGTATACAACCTTCAATCGCACATTTTCATCAACTTACAAGTTGTCTTTGTCACAAATCGATTTTCTTTATTTATGGCGAGCTATTTTGCCTAATGAATGTGTAAGTTATACATATGCATACAAATCAATTTGATATATATATTTGTTGTTCAGATATTAGGCAGCATTTTGTTCGCGAACAGTTTCCGAAAAGCTGTTAAAAATAAAACAAATTCTCGCACAACGATCCCTTTTCAGATGAAAATGTGCATCTAAAACAAAACTCGGCATCATAGCACCCTAGTGTTGCACCAAGCATGAACAGTTATTGGATCATTGTAGATGAATCCTAGATTAGTGTTAAGTGAGTGTTTTTTTAAGGTTGTATACAAAATACATGTACTAATGTTAGGCAGATGTTGGATTACACAGTATACTGTATTTGTGAAAAGGCCCTTTAGCGGTGACAAAGCTTAAACGCAACATGTTTATACACAATGTATTCATTATACATTACAAATACATGTATATATATATGTACGACGTCAGACGGTGAGTGCACGAGGAATGATGTAATACATTGTGCACCTTGGCATGCAGTTATCATATACACGGCGGAACAAGCCGATTAAACTCGGAATGTTTTACAATTTGCAGCGCCATCTGGCGTTTTTTATTGTCAACGTCCTTTCGTGCTAACTGACGTTCTTTATTGAAAACGTCCACTCGGGCTCACTGACTTTCTTTCGTACACATTGTTCTTTCTTTTCTTATGACGTCTTTTCGTAACATTTGACTATTAATATTGCATACTTTTGACATTTATTTCAACTTTGTATGTTTAACCCTCGTTTGTTTGTTTTGTATTTTGACCTTTAGTATTAACATTTAGTTCTTTATTCGTAATATTTTATCTTAATTGCGTACTTTTGTCCTTTTTTTCAACTTTGTATTTTTTGACCGAATGGCCGCCCATACATACGCCCTTATTACTACCCATAAAAGTGACTAATGCGCTTTCGAATGGTGCAGCACAGGTCGCGAACTAGTCTAGGTCGCGCCATTCGTAAGCGCATTAGTCACTTGTATGGGTAGTAATAAGGGCGTATGTTCACATTGATCAACAAACTGAAATACAGTTTTCGAGGTAATAAGGAAATGTAGGTATCTTTGTGGGTAGCATCGGTAATGGTGACGAGGTTTTGATAAGTCACTTGCTTGGTAATTTTGCGATTTTCGTTTACACTATTTTGACTTGCAACACAAAGTAAATATTTCACCTTAGCATTGCTTTTTGATAGTGTGTATATTTTTTACTGTCAAAATGTGTAACATTTTCAAATTTATTAAACGACTAAATATTCAATTATTTAACAAAATGACTGAAAAACATTTCCATCTGTATTATTATGATAACGAATTTCAAACATTTTGTTGTTTAATGTCATCACCAAGAGACTGAAAATGTTACCTTGAAAAGTACATTTCTATGTTGTTTGGCTTCTAATCCTACATAATAATCTGTTGTGATGGTTGTAGGCCCTTTTGATCGTCTTAATCAATCTGGACAGATTTTTTAGTCAAAATGACTGAAATATTTACACATTTTACAAATTGCCTGAGAGAATTACATTTTACAAATTGGCGGTAATATATACACGCTTACAAGGCAAAAGGCCTGTGAAAACAACGTCTATCGTGCATTGAAGAATTTCCCAACCAAGACGTATAGAAACCAGGACGACATGGTTCAATGCTACAGCAAATGAAGGAAAACAAAATGCAAATATCATAATTACAACCTACCAAATTTATGTGTATACATTTTAGGCAGCTTCCTTGTTCTAGGAATGTATCCGTGAATATCCACACAAAGGAACAATATCCCACTCGTCTGCAGCTGTACAAAGAAACTGATTCGATGTCACGTGTCTCTGTAACAATCAAATATTTTAAAAGATATATATCGTTTCGGGATATTATAACCCGTGTTCGTTTCTCAACTGATCACTTGGATTGTTTCAGGTGTTTCACATAGGTGTCAAGTCTCAAGGGTCAGCTGACAACTATTTTCATAACGTTCACGGTTCCTAAAAAATCCATTGAGTGATAGATAACAATGATCAATCAATCAACGTATTATCGGTTAACCCTTTAAACAAAGTATGTTGTTTTTACATCGGCACTTCACGCCATGATATGAGTGTATTCCCTTTGTTTTAGTAAACCTAGACATGTAAACACTCACTTTTGACATATCCACTGTGCAAGATAACAGTGATTAATCAACGTATTTTCTGTTAATCCTTTGATAATTAGGAACGATCCGTTGATTTACAAAAAAAAAGTAAATCAACTGATCATTCACCTCTTGCTGGTCTGCCACGTGCATATTACATAACACACATTTCACCTTACTTTAAACCTGGATTTAGATTGAATAATTACCCCAGACACAATAAATGCCAAATTTGAACCTTTGTCAGGTAATCTAAGTGGTCCTACCACTAATTGTACCTGTAATAAATTCATTAACTGAGCATCAAGTGAATGACGACAAATACACAAGTGTAGGGTTATACCAGAAAACGTGGATGACAACAAGGGAGTAGTAATCGTATAATCGACGCAATCCGAAATCCGAAAATGCTTTCACTGCGTGGGTACTTTTTGTAGTGTTAACTATGACCATCTGGGGTATTTCCAAATGACGACATCCGATGAGCTCCGCCGTTCTTTTTGTCTGTTAGTTTAGGCTGAAGAAATTAATTAACATGCGCCCTTTGTCGAAATCTTTAAGAGCACGGTTAACCAATCAGTGTTTATGCAAAAATGCGTAAAACATATATTGCCTCCAGCCTCCAAGTTTATTTAGCTGTCAATGCAGACGGTAGCCCAGTCTCTGGTCACGCTCAGTTGCGTTGCGTATCATCCGGGTACTCACGGGGAAAAACAATAACAAAGGCAACAACCAGTCCGGGGAATTGCGTTAGATCAGTGCCCCTTTAAATATTGGACAAGCAATACTTTTACCCCTGATATTAGCTGAAAATTGGCGACTTCCATTAAAACATTTGAACAATATAGGGACCCAATATAGTTAGAATGGGCACAACAATATGTTTGGAAGATTTGGAAAACTCATTACTCGGACCCTGGATCGAGTTTGATATCGAAAACCATAGGACGTTCAGAGTACAGAGACCCAGGTAAACGTACAAAAGTTCAATGTGCGGCATAACATTTACGATCTTCCGCTTACGGTTATTCGATAACAATATTCTATCAGATTTATATAATGTCACCCTATGTATGGAATAGGGTCTGTTTTACTTACTCCTCTTCTGGAATATCTGTAGAGTACATTTCTGTTCTGGTATCGGCAAGGAGGACAGCTTTCATTCCCCGGCGACATACGTTGGATCCACAAAATATACAGTCAAGGCTGTACACGTTCTTCTCTCGGAATGTTGGGTGTAACTCCGATTTGCTCATTTTCCGCTATTTCACAGCTAAAGAACGTGTGTTCAGCAGAATTTGTTCTCGATCAAGCAAACCACAGTGGAACGCCGGCACTTCCTCATGCAAGGCCACATGTGTTTGTGTATTTATTATCCTATCTTGGTTTTCATTGGTCAATGTTACAGTGTATATTTATAACCGGTCCTTTCATTGGATGGTTGTGAGAGTTGTGATTAGTCCTAACAACCTTGTCGCTATGAGGATATACTAGTTTCCTAGCAACATTATTCAATTCTATCTGAATTTAACGGTAAATTACAGGTTTCTTGTTATGATCACTTTTTTAACCTTGCTTTAAAATGATTGAAATTAAGCGAAGTGACCGAGGTGGATTAATTAAAAAAACAAGAAAGACGAGTGACACTTGAAACACAGAAACATACTCAATGCACACTGATGAAATTGACAAGGAGTAGATAAACGAATCATGTGATATGATATAACTATTTCAGTGCCTCAGTGAGATATTTTTCCTCGTGTAATATTACCAAAGCAGTTATTTGTCATGAATATCACATAAGTATTATCAACGTTTGTACCATATAATAACTGTCAAATATTTTAAAAAGAAGAATGAAGCATGCTGAAATATGCACATGAGTATATTCTGCCATATGTATGTTGTATCACTTCTGAAGTAATTAGGTATTTACACTGTTAACATATTTTCCCACCAGAATCTGCATAACATTAACCTCCAGAGATGTCTTGTAACCAAAATGAAAAATCCATTTTGTGATTGTTTATGTATTTATTCCTATCAGTTATCTCTTGCGTTAATCTATTTAAATAAATTATTCTTTTTGTTACGCGCACGCGCACGCGCACACACACACAAACACACACACACGAGACTCATATGCCCCACACCCCTCTGCTCATGTGTGGATGTAGATCGTAGCTATTTTCTTAATAAATTCAATCTATTAAATGATGGGAACTTTCGCGCTAAAAAGAAAAGAAACAAAAAACGATATATATTTCCTTCTGTAGATATTTACAAAAGCCTGCAGCTTCATTATATCAGTGACCATTCAGATGTATTGAAGGTCCATAGCAATTAGAAAGGTAATGGAATCGTATCCCGCTTGTGACCAGGTTATTCAGTCAATGGACCAACAATGTTGACAGGTATTTACGGTGTTGTCACTACCCCTACCCCTACCCCGGGGTACATACACCCTGAGCACTCAAAAGAACCCACCCATCCGACGGTAGATGGCCAGATGGTGGAAACACGAATACGAACATACACCCGAAACACAAGTGTCTAAACACGTGGTGTCACCTGGGCAAGTGACTTAGTTCAAATGTGCCTCTGTTCACCCAGCAGAGAATGGGTACCCGATGTGTTAGGTGGATGTAAGAACCTTCTGGCGCCTGTAGGCAGTTTGGATTATATACTCCCCAGAGAGTTGGGAATGATAACTAGAATGCATACGGAGCCACTGCTCGGGGAACAAATAAACCTTTTTTTAAGCAGAGATGTCTGGATAAGGGCGGTATATAATAATAACAATAAATATTATAATAAGTTAAAATGAAAAAATATCTTTATACCAACTCTGCCCCTGAACCTGTTCGGTGTGTACAATTTAGATCTGGTCTAAGGGCCAAGGTGAAGGTTTAGGACATTGATCTGCCATTATGACCATGTCCAAAGTATCACCTCCCCAACATATATAGCTTTGTATTGTAGGCGGGTTTGTAGCCGGTATGAAAATGACCACACGCACTTACACTCATATTAAAACACAAGTACACATGTTTTTTTTCTGAGAAACAAAACAAAAAGTTTCATTTACATCATTACTGGACTCTACTTCTTCAGCATTTGAAAAGACAATCGATAAAACTTAGATCAAATATTTACATTTGTGACATCAATAAGGTTATGACCATCTAGGGCAATACATGTATTTAACCTAAATAGAACAAGAACCATAGATCCCAGTACGACCGAAATACCAAACTATATGACGGCGGTGTGTAAATTGTCGAGTCTGGACCAGACAATCCAATGATTGATATCATGAACATCGCTCCATGCAATTTGGATACGATGACATACATCAACCAAGCCAGCGAACCTGACCACCCGATCCCGTTAGTCGCATGGGCTGCTGAAGACCTATTCTAACCCGGTTCTTCGTGGGTCGACTCATTTACCCCATAATAAATCACAGTAAATATAAAGTAAATCATTTTATTGTCTCTGGAAATACTGATTCAAGTTTTGAGCTAAGAAGATGTCCAAAGACCTAAACATTAGAAGCATGAGGTTAAGAGCTATATATGTGTAACGTTTATCTGTGTATGTACTAGTATACTCATGTATCATTGTTGTCACAAATAACTAACTGTATGGTCACGTTCATGTTAATAAACATACCGTATTATATTGTATTATATTGTTAAAGATTTAACATTTTCTGCTTTATTTAAGTCAATATTATAAACATATAAAAAACGATCTTGAACAGATAAATAGATGAAACTAAAACACATTGACTTACAGATGCTTCGTTAGTCTTTTTCAGAAACGATCGATGTTGAAGCGAAAGCAGTATAAGAGGAAATGGACGTCTCTGATTGGTCAAAGGGATCAATGTTTTCATCTCGCACCTGTCCGCGTTATCGCGTTCGACTCACGAGATCTTGGACTTTTAATTCCCATAATGCTCTGCGCGAGTAACGTTAAGTCTTGAAGTGCGATCTATCGGGATTATAAAATTGAGAGGACTCATTAATCCATTTGTTCTTGATGAGCTTGTATTCGGGGTTTCAATATGGCCTCCGAGAAAAAAGCCAAAAAGGAGAAGGAGATCGTCAGCGAGTTTGAAAGTCATATGCGAGGTAAGTGACCCAGGATAGCTGCAAACAGCATCATGCGCCCGGTGAAATCGACACTCAGACCCCTGTCAAATGTCAATCATTCTTTGTGAGTTTCTCATCTCATAATTTTCCACACACCACAGCGAATTACTGGTAGTCTGTCAAATTTAGACTAGATTTCATACATACAAGCTTTTATTAAAATAATGGAAATATTTGGATATTTTAATGTTATATTGATGGCATGTGTTCTCACGGGTCAGCGACACACCTTTTTTGCCCCCGAGGATAACAACTTCCTCTTTGGAAGTAGTTTGTGGGTGACGAGCCCCCAAAATGACAGTTGATGACAGAGGGAGACTGAACTAAAACGATGCGCGCCCTAATTTAGTGGAGAGTAAATTATCCTCATCTGTTTTAAACAATATGTACAGTCCCGTTAGGAATGTTAAAAGTACATTATTGATTGTAAAAGTTTGTTTTGTAACACTTTGTAATGTTATAGGCTAGTCATACAAATGCATAAAACATCAGCCCATATTGTTGGGATATGGACACATATTCTGGTAATCAAACAACGCTTCAATTGAAGTCTGTGTTAAATAGGTTTCAGATATGTAGATTCTATGCATATACATCGGACAGCCCTACAACCTCCAGGGACAGAAAGAAATAGATCTACCTTTACTAGATGTCATTTTTAGCAGCAACTAGTCCACAGCATATTATTTAATAACAGGGATTAATTTGTTTACAAGTCAAAATATTTACCCATTTCATAAATTGTAGTAAATTACCAAAGCTAATAAATTACAGAACTGTGAATGGTCAGACATTGATAAGCATGACAACTGATAAGAGAAAACTTGTTTTGATATGTGAGGAGTAATGCAAACACTCATTTGAATTATTGAAAGCAGAGTCAGCAGATGATTGTCGAATATTTATGACCATTGTGTAATTGTAACTAGTATCTGACCCTTGAACTGTCACTACAGAGGTGACGAGGCAGCCAGTATATTGCCCGCTAGCCACCAGTGCATGAAGGTGTTATGATACCTGCCCTGTTTACTTGTTCCTGGTTTATTGATAATGCTTCTGTAAACTGACCAGTGAAGCATTGCTACTGTTGAAGGAGACATCAGTAGATTGTAGGCTGTGCCACAAGCACATTACTGTGCTGGAGTGCACACAGCAAGAAGCTGTGAATACAATGTTGGACTTCAACCATGACAGTTATAGTTAACAAAGCCAATGTATTCTTTAGTTAACACATTATCATTTGTTAACATTTTCAAAGCTGATTCCCTTTGATGACAATTACAAACAGTTTTGAGACTGATGACAGCACTGTTTTGATTCTATATTAACACTGACTAACAATCATTCCAGTTGTATATCACTGCCAAGAAGATAAGGAGATGTTTTCATAAAACTAACAACTCATTTCCATCGTAAAATAATTTTTTGAAGTCATTAAAATTGTTGTGTTCTTTGCAAAAGTGCTTTTCTGAACTAAGATATTATATGTTTAGTTTGAAACCTTTTTAGATAAATAGTGAAATGTTTGCTTATCCAAACCAACAAAGGCAACAATGGATTGCTTGAGTCTGATATATGTACATAAAGGGTTTTGTCAGTTAAATGCATGGTACTTAGCAATTTTCCTCCCATATTTTCCTTGTCAGTGATAAGTGATTATGTGGCAACAATAGCAAAGTACTATTGGCAGAGTGGAGTGAGGAAAACAGAGTGCTGCTTGTTGTTCAGCACCTACCCTGCAATCCACCATTGTCAGCCTATCTTTTGACTTGACACAGTTGGCCAGGGTTTGGTGAATTATTATAAGTAGTGTGGGAGCAAATGACCAAAGGCTCAGTAAATCGATCGATCTGGAAAGTCAAAATGTTTATTGTTCTTCAGAAAGGTATAACCGACATAAAATGTCAGGTGAAATCAAAATAAAATCAAGACTGCAGTTAACTGGGTGCAACTCGAATTGTCCACAGGAATTTATAGTCCTACACAAATATAAATACCAATTACCATATTTGACGTAATAAGCGCCCCGCTCTTTTAAGTGCCAACAGTGATATTTGCTAGGGTTGCAACGAATACACTATGAGGTGAATATGATTCCTATAAAAAATATAGGGTAACGAATACGAATATTTATTCACGAATACAATAACAAGTCAGCAGTTGATGTACAATTTATTATATTCAGTGAAAAATAACAACAGTAATTATTTGACATG